ATAGGTTTGTCACAGAAAGACTCTTAAGATTCAATTTCTAAATTTGTAAAGTATTTCACAAGTATATATGTCTGTTAAAACTATTATATTATATATTATTAAGGGTTTTAGAAGGATCTTATTCTGCACGCTGACTCTTTGATAATGATTGCGGATAAATGGTGGAGCCAATCTTACCAGACACAGCAATCGTTCCACTACAGCACGCACGTCCATCCAAGACTGGATCTGAAAGTCTGAAGTGAACGTTTACAGAATATCACAATTTATCAAATTAGGTTTATCAAAATATAATCTTCTCTGCAACAAGACAGAACTTCAAATGTATAAACCTCTTTCCAAAACACACTCAGTCCTCTCCTGAGTCACTGAAAGGCAGGCAGTTAAGTGTCTAAAAAGCTTTTAAAAGACGAAACACAGCGAGCCCCAAATTCCTCACCTCCCGACTGCTCCCATCGTGTCCTGCTCCTCTTCTTTCTTCTGCAGCTGTGTGAGATAAGCCTTGATCCTGGCGTTGCAGGTCAGCAGGTTCTTGGAGGCGTTGAGAACCTGTTCTCTCTTACTGCAGGCAAGGAGCAGCTTGTAGGCACCCTCGCGCATCCGTATCTCAAACTCAAGCTTGTCTTGTATGTTAGTGTTCTTTTTGGACAGAACATACAAAGGAAACATTTCCAATAATCAGAATGATGAATATGAAAATAAAGAGCAGAATTTATTTTGTATTTTTTTGCTTTGTAAGTCCGTAAAACTATATAACACATGAGGAGTGCAAACATGTTGATTTTGCCGAGATGAAGTTTCCCCTTGAACGGTTATTAGAGATGTTTCGACACAACTTTATCCCAAACAGAAGGATTATAAAACACAGATTACTGGTGGGAAAAGATTTTTTGTAACCTTATAATAACATTTTACTCTCTGCTGCTAATATATATATATGGGATATATTTCATTATGGTATTGCATCTGTGTATAGACACATAATCCCTGATACCCGATTGTATTTTAGGATGATATTAGTAAAAAGAAAACTGAACAGTTACCACCATGAGAGGGTACTAGCACAACATTTCAGTTGATATTGATAGGCTGATTTTCAACTGGCGGCCCGGGGCCCCCATCAACCTTAAATATGGCCCTCAGGTTAATTTTTTTTACACATCAATTAATTGGAAACATGAAGAAAAACATGATGAAATCTGCCATGAAATCATGAAAACCAGAAATATGTCCATGATAATATTTGATCACTGGTAAATGTTGAGACATAATCGACTGTAATCCATTTTAGTATCCTACAATTTGGCCCCCTGGCAGCGAGAATTGAATCAATGTGGCCCCTTGCTGTGACCAAAGTTGCCCATCCCTGCTCTGGACCATTCAACAGTGCAGAGAGTGTGCACAGCTCTGGTTTCGGGGGAAGTGAATAATGTTGAAGAGGCAGGTCTCGTATTTCTTAACTGACCCGACTTGCTTATCTTTGTCCTCAGTAATAGAAACCAAAGGAAAAAGTAAGAGAAGCTGTTTAAAAAAAAAAAAAAAATGAAAAGTTGCTTGAGCACAGCCTACCGAATAAGCAAGATGTTGTTGTTAATTTGAAAACTTAAAAAAAAAGAAACCGTGCATTAGCCTCGTTTCATCGCTGCACTTTGGACCCTTCCCAGGCGTAACTTGAACCCCGTCACTGTGATTCAAGATTTGACGATAAACAACAAAAGTCCACTCGAGAAAATCTCTGGCCATACCTCTGTCAGAAGGAACACGGTGCTCTGTCGTATTTTCTTTCGTTTGATCTCCATTGCCACCGCGGAACTTGCTGATATTAACGACCTGGAGCTCCCGTTTCGCTTGGAAATTTGAACATCCCGCGGGTCGTCCATGTCGCACAACCATTCGCTCCTAACAACCAGCAAGCAGGCAGAGGCTGCGCACGTTCCTGAGCCAACGTACGACCGACAAAAGGGGGGGGGGGGTTTGATTCATGTACCGCCGTCTGCCGCGTGGGCGGTAATGTCGAAAGTAACACACACACACACACACACACACACACACACACACACACAAACACACACACACACAGTATCATTCTGAAGAAATCTTGCCTCAAGACCACCTGTCTGTGGTGTAGAACTGCAGAAAAAATGACTTTAAAGTCTTTTTGTTGTCCAGCCAAATGAGTTGCAGGCAGAATATTGGAAATGTGGCAATTCTTTGTCTTTTTTTTTAATGAGGTTATTAATGTACAATAAAAATCTTTCGCTCAAACATGACCTTTGACCCTTATTTGGAAGTTGAGGTACTCTGCCTTTGCATTGCCTGTACAATAATAAGGCGTCATGCCAGGGCAAAAGGCATTAACTTCCATTTGATACTGTATTTCACTTGGTTGCATGGTTAAAATAACACAACTAGCATTTCTTTGCTACACTTTAGTCAAGCTACTGTGTGTGTCAGGAGATATTAAAACAAAGGCGTAACACCTTTAACTCCACTGCAGTAAAGACCTGAACTCAGTTTGAGCGTTCCTGAATGCTGCAGTACAAAGGCAAAGACCCTTATGAGTGAAGTTTACTGGACTTGGTTTCTCCAGGGCTTTTGGAAGTTAAGGCAATGTCCACATAATAAAGCACATCTGTCATGTTCCAAAAATGACAAAAACTAATTTTAATTTTTTTTTTTTTTTTACTGCCTTTTTTTACATTGTATAGAAGTAACAGGCCCAGGTGTTACATTTCAAAAATAAATACCAGACAACCCGTCTTGCTAGCCGGTACTTTCAGAAGAACAAACCGAGCGCTCCACTCAGACTAAGAAGGCGCGTCATTACGTCATTACGTCAATTTTTGTGCCAGACGATTTGAAGTATCACGTTTTCGGTTAAAGTTTTGTTTTGAAACTGTTTTGGGGGCCTTTCTGTGTACGTATGCGTTAAGAATAACTAAATAAAATTCAAAGTAATTTCGATCCACACTTTCATTGACCTGATTAAGCAAACATTTCGGTGTCCTTCAAAAGCACTTATTAAAACCATGATTAAAACCGATTCTTTTCGTTTTGAGGTCTTACTTTAATATTTAAAGTCTATGGGGTTTGCTAAGCTTTTATTTACAACAGTTTGTTAAAATCTCCTTAATTAGTATGCACGTAGGCAAGAAAAAAAAAAGCCAAGTAATACTCTTAAGATCCTGTAGTGCAACATTTTCATTTTCATTTCAGTAGATCGTTTGTTTTATGTTTGGTTCCCCGGATGTTGTGCCACTGGGCTGACCATCATGTCGCAGCAATTTACTTTATTTTCAGCGTTAATATTGTCCTGCAGGCTGTGTGACCCGGCTGCTGTGGAGAACAATAGACCCTGAGTGAGTCCAGGAAACCCGCCCACCCGGTTCTGTCATGGGCTTCTGGTCGAGTTGGAAGCATCCATGGTTGGAAGTGTAGACGCTGGCGCTGCGGTGGTGGAGTCTGTCAAGTTAGAGACAACAACAAACTCCGGAAATCACAACATTTGCTTTTAAAATTAAAAGTAACATTTTCCAAATAGGCCAATGTTACAGGCTCCCTACAAAAAAACTAACCGAACGGAGGGTCAGTGACATGGAAACTGAAAATAAATGAAAGGGAAGCCACAGGATTTAAAGGGCTGAAAACCCACAAGCTTTATTTAACCGGAAAGTGTAAAGAATAAACCAAGGAAACCAGAACAGACTGGAGACCCATTGCCAAAATCAAGAAAAGATGGGAGATGCTGAGCCAACCTTGCATTATCCTGTCGCTCCCAGCACCTCTCCCTAAAACTTGAAGACCAAAAACAATACTACAGGTGATCTGCAGCTTATACACAGTTATACAGAGTATACCCACTTATTTGTCAGTCTCCATACCGACTTCCAAATCTCCTCTGATAAACACCATTGAAAGATTGACAATATTAGTATTCTGCAATTTTTTTTCCCTGATGGTGAAGGGATGACTCTCTTTACTCCATCTCTTATTGTCTAGTACACACAAACTAAATATGTAGGAGCAGTCTTACCTGTCACTGTTTATTACAGAGGCTGTTAATCCTCTGCTAGACAAACGACTTTTAAAAAAAAGAGTATACCCACTTATTTTGGCACCACTACACCACTGTCTCCCGCTCAAACTAGAGCAAAACCCAGCAGTCCAACAAGCATGGGAAAAAGAAAAAAAAAACAGTTTTTAGGAAAACAAGAAAAAGTATCGGGGAAACAAATAAGTGTTGCTCTAAATCCCCCTCCTCAGTGTGCAGCAGGCAGAGGGAGGAGTAAGTCATAATTCTGTAAAATGTATGTCCTAACTTTAATATCATTGTTTTTTTTTAGTGCCCACCTAGTTTCACAGGCCAAGGAATGATGAGCTATAATCGTTTTCAATCTGTCTACTACTATGGTTGTCTTTAAGACTTTATGTTTGTAAATCCACTGTAGACTAAGCCATTAGTGTGAAGGCTGTTTCGTCATGAGCCGAAGATTTCTGCCTTTTAATAAGGCAGTTTTTTTTCTTACCACTGTAACTTTTGCTGCTTTGCTAAAGTGCCCATGATGGATAGGCCAGGTCTTTGTAATATAACAATAAGTAAGGTCTTTCACCTGCTTTTTGTAACATAACAACGAGTAAGGTATTTTACCTGCTTTTTGTAAAGTGTCTCGAGATAACATTTGTTATGAGTTGACGCTATACAAATAAAAATTGATTGATTGATTGATTCGGGACTAAAAACAATGATGTTTTTCTTTCTGTTTATCTACCCGTCTGTCCAGAGAAATTGTGTTCTTTACACCCCTCAGGGTTTTAAAGTTTCCGTGTCCCCCAAAGATTTAAGATCGCTGGTGCATGTGACGCTTGCAAAACCCGGCATCCTATTCGCTCGTATTTTATTTTGAAAGTAGTAACCGGAAGTTTAGAATCATATGGGCGCTGCTTTGACGGTTCTTGCAGGATGGTCGGCGCGCCGCTGTTTCGCTGGAAGTAGCGTATCGCTGAGCAACGGAGGGGGAGAAGGCCGATGCGCACAGCCAGAACTGCAGCAGCGGCTGGGCTGGGCTCTAACACACACGCACACACACACACACACCTTCGACAGCTACACACACCGGAGAGGAAAAGGGTAAGTGAGGCGTGAATTTCACTTAAATTAAGCATAAAGGAAACAAATATTCCGGCTAACTAACCGGTAAGCTTTTTAGCTGTGTGGTCGACACGTGAAGTTTGCGGCATACAGAGAAGGAAGAGTCGCTGTTTCTGCTTTTCTCATCCATTCATGTTAATGTGGGTTATTAATGTTGATTCAAAATTCTCCTTTTTTGACCCAACCGACTTTAAAGCGTCCCAGGTTTAGATAGGCTAGTTAAACCTGGACTAAAAAAAAATGCATTTATCACGTTTAATAAAATAAAAAAAAAAGCGCAGCATATAAATACCGTTATTGCTTTTGGCTGAACAGAACTGGTCTGACTCCTTGTTGGCTAACTGGATGGTGGCTACTGTTGTCGGCAGCAGCAGCAGCATGACCAGCCTGCACTGCTGCTACGCCTTTGTACAGAGACAGAGCTTCCCCACTTTCGGTTCCTCTGTTAAAACACCAGTCACATTTCCCTCTTATGTTATTTGCTTTTTAACCTGTTTTTTTCTGATAAGTTGCATCCTGCTGTACCATCCTACGGTATGGAGACAGGATGCACATCAATGAAGGTCGGTCACAATGGACGCTTTGTTGTTTATCTCGGCGGAGACACACTAACCTGAGGGTGCTCTTTGAGTCTGCTTACATTGTCTGAAGGGAACATTATATGACGGGGCATTTCGCTATTAAATGCTGTAAAGAGTGTTTCCCGATGTCGGATTCCCCCCCCCCCCCCCTTCTGTGTGGAGGCTTTGTTTTCGTGGGGCAGATGTAGCTGGCCTACATACATCCGCTCTCTTTGTGTTGAGTTTGATTTTTGCTGTCATCAACACATAAGATGTTAAACTTGGGCCAAAAATCAGCTTCAACTGCATTATCTTTAATGCCGACGTGTTAACATAGACCTTAAAGATACATTGTTTGCGTTCCCCATACAGTCTAATATTCAAAATTATGAATTGTGTAATAATGGTTTATTATCAGAGAATATAGACTGCTTTGAATAAGTGAAGAAGTCAGTCAGCATGCTTATGCAAGATGCATACAAATAGTTGCACTTGTTTAAATAGATGTCTGTATCAGCAGGCTGATGTGATTTTATTCACTTTGTTTCTTTTCTTAATCTCATCTGATAACATTTAATTTGGCAAGGAAGCTCTGTGCTTTCCAGGTCTGGTTTATAACACAAGTTTGCACACACTGAGTTGATGTTTTCTTTGAAAGCTGCAGCGCTACAGGCTGAACATCACCGAGACGATTTAGTCTCCTCCTTCTCCTCCCTCATCTGTATTAATTCAAAAATGTTTTCTGGGTTGGAGCCATAGAGTGTGCAGCGGATACCGTCCAGTCTCCTTCACTTTTCCTTCTCTTTTTCGCTCTGCCTTTTACCGCCTCCTTCCTGTCCTCCCTGCAAATGTTGCTGCCGGCAACTGCTGGTTGGCTCTACAGGCGGTTGCATTTTTAAAAAAGTGTGTCAGTGTCACAGGACTGGTTGCTGCTCACTCTGAGAGACAGCAGCCTCCCCCCCGTTGCCGTCATAAAAGTGTCAATTCAAACGGTTCAAGTGCAGCAACTATGTGAGTTAATAGAACACTTTAATTGTTTTTACTACATCTGTTGAAAATGTTCTTATGTTGTTTTGCTTGTTTACACAATTCCTTAGAGTCAGCAAGCTGTAACTTACACTTAATACCTTGAAGTGGCATCTGCTTCACTATCAAAACTGTTGTATACTTGTACGAGTATAGAAAGGTTAACTTCAATAATAGGGGATTATTTTCTCCTCTACTGTAGACCTTGTTGTCCAGCCTGCCTTCAGCCATTGTGTATATAGGAAGTTTAGGAAGTGAGTTCATTTTACTTCAGTGTTCAGGGAGTGTTAGTTGAGACAGAAAACAACATAGCCTGGGTGTTGATACTATTACCCTCTGTCCAATTCGTTCATTAAAGTGTTTTTGTGCCAGGGTGTCTGTGGCTTTAAATAGCAGTGTATCTCACTTCTGTAATCTGGATGGAAAAGTTGAAAGGGTTATGAGAGGCAGCGTTGCCTGGTGCAGTCCCTCTCGTGTACAGAGGCACAGAGACAAAAAATAAGAAGGTGAACGGAAAAAAAAAAATTGGGAGAGTGAGAGACTACATGGCAAAAAAAAAGAATGAAAGAAAAGGAAAAGTTTGAACACATGTTTTATCACAATCATTAGCCTCTCCCTTGTTATGGAACATCTGGGTGGGTCTTTGTTTTTTGCCTCTCAAAAATGAAAAAAAAAACCTGAAAAAAACTGGCTGACCTTCACATCTGTTCTGGGGTGTAACATACTCCCCTTTGACTTTCCAGTATTTTGTGCTTCTTTCCACTGCAGATATTGATCTTTTATTTTGGCAGTTTCCAACTCCCATCTCTCCCTTTGCCAGGCTCCCTCTGATTGTCCTGTTATGCCTACATGTTTTTTCTCTTTAAGTGCTAGTGTGGATTACAGAGTGAGACAGTTCACTATTTTTGTCTACTGCTGAGGCTATTGCTGTGGGCAGGATGTAATGTTGCTGGTGCCATAATCAACGTGGCAGGGTTCACCAAATACTAATGTTCCTGTTAAAGGGCCACGGGTCAGACATTATCTGCTCAGCAGGGGCCAAACAGGGCCACGAGACCAATAACTGGAACAAACCTATACTTCCCACACTATCTGCTATACAGTGATTTATTCATATGATAGTCTAATACAAGGATATTGCAGTTTGAAAATGTAAACAACGATTTCAAACAACTTTTGGTTTTCAGTTTTAGTTTCTTTTATTGTACTAACATGAAAATCAATAATATTTCATATCAGGAATGTTTGAACGGACGTAGCTGGTCTATATAATTACCAAAAATAGTTGAAAATGTCCACAACCACCTCTGTAAGGCCAAGGTCAGTGACATCTTTAAATTAGAGATGTACTGATTGGAAAAATCAGGGCTGATACAGATGTTTGAAATAACAATTTAGCTGATTCCAGTATTTCTTTCATGACTTCTTTTGGTGTAGGACTCCCACAATGTCACAATTTTCTTTCATGTTAAACAATGAAAAACAAGTCGGGTGACTTCTTCTGCCCAATAAAAAAACCTCTTCTCTGAATCAGTAGTTAGGTGTACTAGATGCCAGCTTTAAATTGATTTGGCACAACAAATAAAAATTGGCTACTGACAGTGATTCATGCCACATCATTTGCCAATGTCGGCCAACAGGGCCAAAAATTGGCAGATACCGATGTTGAACCGATGCATCGTATACTTTAAATGTCTGTTTTTTCATCAAAAAATTCTAAACCCAGAGATAACCAGTTTAAAATGATTTAAAGCTGAAAAGGGCCCACATTTGTCAAAGCAACACCCATGATTTTTTCTTGTTTTGGCCTTATTAATAATAACTCATAGGATTCATTTGATTATCAAAATGGTTTCTGGTAATGCCTTAATCAACCAATTGTTTCAGCCATGGCCAAGTGTATTAATGATTTCTTTAACATTAACTTAAGGTTCAATATTACTACACAAAGTATTTTTGCTTCCATGAACCAGTTGTTGCCTCTAGAAATGAGTCTATGTTAATATATTTTTCTCTGAAAATGTACTGCACACATTTTACAGAGTGAGAATCACATGCTTTGAAACAGACAATGCTGTAGGGCATGTGCGTTATTAATTCTCTTGGATTATTAATCATCTTTTTGTAAAGTCTCTATCAGTAAGAAAGCTTGTTATGAGTGTTGGCTTCACCCTCAGTAGTCTCTACAAGAATAATCACTTTCATGATGTAGTGCTCAAAGGCGTGCTGTGTTTTCTTTTTTTTACTAAAATGCTGTATAGTTCTTGAAGTCTGTGAGGAGTACATTTCCATATGTAGGTCTGTGGGTCATGTGGTACGGGGGGGGGGGGTCATCGAGCGTATGGTGAGTTTGTGTCTTAAGGCCAGAGAGGTGTGCTGGCTTTGTGTATGATGATAACAAAGAGGTGGCTGCTGGGCGATTGCAGGCTAAATGGTGGTGTTAGCTTGTTTATTCCTACTGCCAACTGCTCATGTAATGCGTGTGTCCATTTTCCTGCACCATATGGTCTTTTCTGCTGCATTGGGACTTTTTTTTACCCGCATGCAACATTTCCAAGCCACATCAACACACATAAAGCATACACACATACACACTCAGGTTTCTGCAGATTAGAGGGGCTTTATTATCTCCCTGCATAGTGCTGTTATCCTATTGTAAGAGGTTAATGTCTGGGGTTTTGGTTTCATCAAGGTTTTTTATTGTCATCTATTTGTTTTAATTGTACTCTCAACATCATTGAAAATTATTGCTCCTCATTGCTCCTTTGTGCCATACTAGTTTCAGACCAAGAACATTAAATATACTGTTTTATTGTCAAACAAACTGTAATTGACTGGCTGCCCTGCAGAGCTAAAATAAATTAACTTAGTGTCAGACTGTTGAAGTTCAGCGTTCGGCTTTGTGCTCATTCGTCTCTCTGATTATTCATAGCAGTTAGTGCAACATCAGCATCAAAAATCATTTATCGAACAGTGCATTATTAGAATTTGACTATCATTTAAGTGTTTATGTTATTTAAACACAGGAGAAATGTGTAAAACCGTGATGCACAACTAGTTATTTTAACCAGATGTTAAGAGAGGAACAATAGATCCTATACTGTACACTTTTATGTTTGTAAATACACTGTAGACTAAAGCCTTTAGGGACTAAAGAAAATCCTTTTGTCTTTCTGTTTGCCTGTCTGTCCAGAGAAAGTGTGTTCTCTACACCCCTCAGGGTGTTATGGTTTTCCTGTCCCCCAAAGATTTAGGGTTGCAGGTGCAAGACAGTCTCCCTTGTCTGTTATGTATTGACCTTAGCCTTCTGAAAGAAAAAAGGTTTCTGCTCTTTATTTGTCTCGTCCTTAAATATTGTCTTGTAATTGCTTCTGCATATGCTTCCAATATACAGTGAAGCAGCAAGTACTCTCTTTGCTCTTTTTTCATTATTGCAAGGCTACAATATTGATTTAGGTCATTTCAGACCTTACTTAAAATTATAATTCCCAAAAGTAATATCCTTTCATTCTAACAACATCTGTGGTACTAAGCTGTCTTTGCTGTAGTGTGAAACTTGTACACTTCCCAAAAATGATTTTGCAGTGAGTCAAAGTGCACTGCTTTATGATAATGTCTTCAGATTGTCGTGTGGATAGAGTTGAATTTAATAAAGTTACTGCTCTATTTTTTTTTTTACTTTACAGCCGAAGGAGGTATCACTGTTCAAGCTAAGTACTTAGTGCTATTTATATCAAAACAAACAGCTTCTGCTGCTGTTGAAAACATTTAATGCACCACCTCTTGTCTGGCAGAGGATTTCTTCTGGGAGAGACCAACCAGACAGGAAAGTTCAGAGCAACAAATGCTTAAAAGCCTTTTAATTTAATCACTTCAATTCAATTAGAGTATGTTCCATTAAGAGAACAGCACAGCACAAAATGTTTCATTAGGTCAAACTGTTTTTCTTCTTCAGAAGTTTGTTGCATCCATACTGTCGCTGTTGGTAAGATTTACTGTAGTTTGACTGGGATTTAAGATGCATTTTTACAATGTAGGCTGACAACCACACCACACCCTTACTAGGGCTAAATTTGGTCTTCATCATAAGACTGTAAGGAAATGTTAGTGACAAGAGTATGAGTTATTTTCTGTCTGTCCTGATTCTTTTCCTTTACTGTCTTTATTCATGTTTTTGGCTTACATGTGTGTGTTTGTAAACCTGTGTGTACAGGCTACAAACAGCAGCTGTCAGTGATGTGGTCTGAGTCAGCTATCAGGGTCTTTGTGGTTATGGGATGGTCTTGGAGGTTAAACAGTAAAAAGCTGACGAGTAGTGGTGGGGGTGGTTATTCAGCTGTTGCATCATTCTGTGATACATACTGGATCCAGATGCTACGTGGAGAGCACGGAGAGCAGCAGCCATGTGCTGCACCAAAGAAACCTATAGTGACGACAGTAAATAAACTGGCACTCATTGACATCACTTCCTCTCCCTCTAAGACAGTGTTTGTAATTGGCTACTTTGGAGTGGAGCAACTAATTTGAAATGCTTCAAATTCAAAAGACTGCTTATATAACGTTTTGTGTAAAACAGAAACTTTGCTGGGAGATGTATTAGAGCCAATAAATGTGATTATGCATTGCCGCTTTTTTGAGCTGTGAATGAGCAGCCTCATTACAGCTGACACTTGGTTTATCAAATCATTTAGGTAATGCAATCAACAAATTAACACCACATCTACTATATAATCAAAGATGAGAAAGGTTTCCACTACAGGAAGTGCTGTGCTCATGCTTCCTCTCTTCACTACCATCTTCTCCTTACAAAGAATTCACAGTCATCTCAGAATAATCCCTCCCTTTTGCTCCTTAATTCTGCGTGTCAAGTCTGGAGGCTGGGGAATTTCTGAACCATGAGGCCAAAACCATGAGGTCACTGTTCTTCCTTATTAGCTCCAGCAGAAGCGGGAGTTGCTGACACTAAGCCAAGAGTATAGCAGTTGATAATGTGAAGAACTTATATTCAATTTTGCGTCTGTTATTGCTTTGCATTTCAGAAAATAAGATGTGATATTTATTGCAGTTTGTCATTGTAAGCTGCATGATGTAGTAAAACAATATTTGAAACTGTCCAGTATGTTCTTTGGTTATGATCTATTTTGAATATAACATCTCAAACCACATAGAAAATTGCTAAGTTCTATAATGAAGAACCCAAGATGACAATGGTCCAAGAACTACAGTTACCAAATTAGAAATGTTTTCCTCAGTGAATGGCAGCAAATTACTCACATTTGAGTAGTAGAAGAACCAGATAATATTTAGATTTTTTGTTAAACATAGTTGAAACAGCTTTTTACAGTTGTTTCAGTTTAGCTGTTTTACCTTGATAATCCACAGTAACATGGGTTTATTTTTTTTGCTGGTGAATATCCTGAATACTTTTTCAACGCTGTAGACTCTTCAGATTTGGTTGCATTCTATTCCTCCATTCCGAGGGGGATGGAGCAAGAAATCCAGGCTACAAAATATGGTTCAAAATCTAATCATTAGGACTGTAAAGATCACATGTTAAACAGACCGCTCTTTCCAGTTTGTCAGCCCCACCACTGCATTCCTCCTGACTATATTCCATGTCTTTCATGTGTGATAGCATGAAGGTTTTTTAATGACACCACACAGACTGGTATTCATCGTATTCAGGCTCCTCAGCCACATCATCGTTAACCTTGCATTCTGCAGTTAATGTGTGGTTATTGAGATGCAAAGCCTTCAGATGCTTTGCTTTCAGTGGGGAGGGGTAACTACACATAATTATAGTGTAATGGCAATGCTGTTGTTCTTTGTAGACTTTTTCTGATAATGAATGCAGAGAGAGTTGTTCTAGTGTCGCAACCGAAACACATTTCATGTTCCATATCTCAAGTGGTCATATGTCTGTAGTTTTGTGGTTGATGTAACATGATTACCAAGCAGAGGATGCAAATCATATGAGCATTAGAAACTCAGCTGGAATCTGGCCAGTAACAGTTTTATCTGAATGATCTGGTTCAGCTTTTGCTCATTTGTAGTCCTTCTTTCCCCAAATCTAGTTTAATTTTGGTTAATGGTGCAGACATTTTTACTCAGTTACGACTGATTACTCAATTTTGCCCAAACCAATTTAGTTAATGTGTCAGTGTTATGCCACCCCACGATGGCATAATTGACATAAATTATGTTGAAAAAAAAGAGTTATCACAGCATGTTGCAGCACAATACTTGTGTCACAGCCAGGGATTTGTAATTGTGTAATAATCGCACATTAAATGTTGAAATGTAATATAAATCTGTATTGTGGGATGAAAAGCAGATTCCCTTTAACATCAGAGACAGCTGTTGCCTTGTTGCAATCATGTTCTCGGCTGCATCGTGCAACAAACTGTTAGAGGTGTGTAGTTGATTAAAATTCACCCTGGGGATAATTGAGTTGGTATTCTGAGTACTTATGAGGTCAAGTGAGCAAGAGCTTAGCTCAATAATCTTTATTTCGCTCTCTGATGGGCTTTTCTTGGCACTTAGAGACACATAGAGAGTTCGTTATTTTTGGCCTCTTGAATTCACCATGGAAACCCTCTCTTTCAATCCTGTTTGATGTTGAAATATATGATTTTGAATATAATTAAATTCTCTAAACCTAATTTTAATTTTAACAGTAAGGTTACACTAAATGCAAACACATGTCTACCTCACTCCATGCTGTTTTGTTTTCATTTTGAGAGAGTGTTGACATTAAAATGATGTGAAAGTTACCTTTAGCTGCTACATTTTGCAGCCTGTTAAATCAGTCTGACATAATCAATCCCTACAGCTGTTTACCGTAAAGCCTAACTTCTAACAATCCAGAAAGTCCGATCAAAAAGATTCTTAAAGATAACATGTCCATCAGTTCTTCGAGGCCTGGAGAGTTAGAAAGTCAGAGTGGCTGGCTTTGACCTCCTTTCCAGCTCATCTGAAGGAGAACGAGGGGAGGAGGAAGGCAAGAGGGAAAATAAATGTCTTGCTGGTGAGGCCAGCCAACATTCCTACATCACTTCCTCCTCTAACATCTGGCAATGATCAGAGCAGGCAGAGAGAAAGAGTGGATGTATCTTACTGGCTAGCTTAGTGTTCATTTCCAGCCGTAGACTCTGAGGCATCACATTACAAGAACGCCCACTCAGCCTCATTCCCCCTACCAGCAAAACAAAATGAAGCAAGATGGAGTGTTTTGCTGTAGTGAACCTCTGCCCTTGTTTACACTTTGTCAGTCACTCTCCTGTTTATTACTTACTTGTTTTACGCATTTCAGCTATTTCTACATCACAGATCAGTGTTAATTTATTTGCCTGCCTCTGTGATTCTAAATAAAAAGATGAAACATGTCTTCTTTTTCTCCCTCCTAAGGATGGCCTAGCTGTGTTGTGTTCTCAGCAGTCTATGAGCAGTGAGCTTCCTTGACCAGAGGTATGCAATTAAACTCACTATTTTATTTCAAAGCAACATACTTACATCTGTAGTGTTATTCCACTAAGATAAAGTAATGAATTAAACTTTAAACTTTAAGATCTCTCTGCTAAAAATACAATATAATTAACAGAATTGTACACATTGCGAGGTGGAAATTGATAAGGGATAATTATGATTCAACAAAACAAGTGTAAGCAGGCTCAGAATTTCTCTGTGTTTGACTATATGATATATTTTATGTAATTTTGATTCAGAGATGCAGAAAATTCTCAGAACAATAATGCATATACCAAATGTCTCTTCTTACGGATGTTCATCCTGATTTAAGGACAAAGGTGGAAAAGTACCTTTTCCTTCTGAACATGTAGCAGTTTACAGCTAAGGGATGCACTGCTACCAAATGCAAACACTGGTTATTGGTCTACACAGATTAGCTGAACCTCTTCTGCTTCTTGTTTGCTTCTCTGCATGTACAGTAGGTGTGTACCAGAGGCTGCAGAGATGAGTGTGACCTCCTGGTTCCTGGTGAGCAGTGGGGGGACACGCCACCGACTGCCCCGGGAAATGATCTTTGTTGGCCGGGACGACTGTGAGCTAATGCTACAGGTGAGAATGCTTAGTATTTCTTCACTGACAGCTTCAACAAACTGAAACTCAGTGGATATTATTGTTGCATTTTTCTTGTTATCTTGAGCCCTTATTGTCGCAGCAAATGGCAGACCTAGTCTCAGTGACTCGTTTTTGGATAATATGATACGATATGAACAACTGAATACAAGTAGCCTGACACTGGTTAGGAGGTTCTTCTCAGTGATATAAATAACCAGCTGGCCTCAAAAAAGTCAGATTCATAAGCGTGAAGTGTTTACAGAGGGACTATACAAATTAGCCTTGACTGCTTATGCTGTCGGTCTTGCAGTAGCAGAACTTGTTGATATGTTAGTGTGTCGTGAGGTGGTGTCTGCGCAGCAGTGCATACATCCAGGGAAAACCAAGTGTATGCTCATGTGTACCTCTGGTCACTGCACTATTAATAGAAAGTGGGACAGATACCTCCTGAGTTACACCCTATCTGACTTACTTAGTTGTAGTGGGTACAGGGTGCAACCATGGTAGCTGTCTCTGTTTTGACATCACATGTTCAGGGATTTTTAAGCTGGTACCAGTATGCCTCTGAGTATCCGACTGTGAAGTATGTATTCAGGACTCTCACTTATATTTATTTTTATCATGTTGGTAAAAGAAAGAGGCCAAAGGTTTAAGTTGCGCTTTCTATCTAATTTAAATCACTGCGTTAACCGATGTGATTACACAATTCTATCTGAATTATTCAGGTTTCTGCTTTCCATACAGCAGTTACGAGCAAATTACAAATGCACTAAGTGTTTATAATATTTATTACAAAAAAATGAGTCATCCACGATACCATTGAGATACTATTTGATTCTACGAGTGGTTTAAAATCCCATTTTGTTGTTTGTATGTTGTATGAAACAAAACAGAATTACAAAAAGGATACAACATTTTTTTTGATATAACAGTAATTTGTTATCAATTAACTTACTTTTGATTATTAAGAAGGAGCTTTTCCATCTTGTCTGAACTTCTTGATGTTGAAGATTTGTGGACACTTCTTACAGTTCAGTCTGAATGTTTTCCAAGGGTGACTACGAGTTGCGAATATTTGAAGTGCCAAACCATCTTTCTTAATCAGTGATGTGGATCGGCGCCGTCTGTCAGATATCCGATCGGTAAATTACGTCAATATCGGACCTGATACCGATATGAGATAGGATTGGTCCCATCTCTGCTGCAGTTTATATCACTTGTCTCCAAGTTCAAGAATAAACTACTGAAAACTCTACATTATTAATGAGGAAATGGTTTTAAAGGAAGCAAAACTGTGTCTAAAGCTGACCTTGTTGCCCTTTCAGTCTGCTGGCTGCTGAGTTTTTATTCGTGTCCTGCTGGCCACTTTCCTTTCACAATCATTTTCTTTGATGAGGACAGTTCAGGAGAGAAGTAATATAGGACATTTTCTGAAGCATGTAGAGTTCTTAAAGGTGTTCCTTTTTTCAAGCAGATTGTCTAATATATCTCTGATGACTAGTGCCTTGCTTGTGTGTATGTTTCCTACCCTTGTGATGTCTTTGGACTGATAAGGAAATCATCCAAATTGAGGACAATATTTTGGCTTTGTGTGTGCTGGTCCATCACTTTGTGTAGCTGCTTACGGTTGTCCTCCATGTGACTTCTTTATCAAGCAAAAGTCTAATCACATGGCTAAATGTTAAGAGCTTTTTTTTCATGCACCAAATTAAACACACTCATACACTCACAGACAGTAAAAGAAACTTCAAAAGGCATAGAATTATCGCACTGCTACTTGAGTAGTCTGACTTAAGTGTTTGGTAAATGCTTAGATCTCATCCCACTGAATTGGTCATAATATCAACGGTTTTGGCAGTGCTGTTTACACAACGATCACAGCAAATTCTTATTCTTATTTTATTATTCATGGTAAAGGGCAAGAATGAAAGAAAGACAGGAATGGAGCCTCCATGAAGTCAGCCTTAATCATTTAATAAAATTCCGCCCTTGGCAGCTATAAACCAGATAATAAAAAGGTAGGTCTTTGTGTCTCTCAGGATTACTTCCTCTGTCTCAAAGCTCAACTCATTTGTTTATGTGTGTGTTTTTCTGGTTCATCTATTCTCTGCTGTATGCGCAAGAGTAATAGGCCCTATGTGTTAACTCCTGCAAGCACCTTACTGTAAAGTTTTTATGTTCTAATTTTGAATATGTTTATTTCAGATGTTGTTTACATTGCTGACACTCATTTTTAGTTATGCTGAGCTCTTTTCATCTGCAATCTTTAGCTGTATCTTCAGATATTCAGTTGGTCAGCAGTATGTCTACTTGGAGCATCATGAGTCTGAATCCTGTGAAGTAAGGCACAAGATGCAGCTCAGTTGGTTTTTATCCTGTTTGATCTTTCAGAATCTTTCTAAGGTAATCATATTCATGGTTGGCCCTCCTTGGTTGCTTCTCTTGGCTTTACTTCAGAAACAGTACAGCCTCGTATTTGTGTTTTGTATTCAGCAGAGGGTGCAGGCAAGTTTGGCCAATGTGGGAGAAATGTGGGGTTACAGGAAATATTTGTATGGGAATTGAACATTGCATTAATTTCAAAGACTCATGAGTGACGGACTTCAACAGTAATATAATTGTTGTCTGGATCTAAATGTGCAAACAAATAACTTTTTATTGCAAATCATTTAATGTAATGTCCAATATGGTTAAAATGTGGAAAAGAGTTTCAAAACACTTTTGTGTGGAGCAGTGTTAAAACATATTGATCAGATATAATCTCTGTGTTTAGTGGAGAAAGCGAAGGCTGACATTTGAAATCCTGTAACTCCAAATGATGAGCTTATCACTGAGAAATGTCTTGACACCAAACATGACATCAGGCATACAGCTGCAAAGTCAAGCACATCAGCCTTTTAAACAATTTAACATAAAATTTAATTATGATGTCTTAATTATGTCTTAATGCTTATATACCAGCAAATAGTTCCAGGAAAAGGTATATCTTGTTTCTTATTGACTCACGTTTAATTATAATGGCTCTTTAACATTTCCATCTGAGTCTTTTTGTTTGTTTTTTTAAACAAAGGATTGTGCTGGAAACAATTTACCATCAAAATAGCTGAGAGACTACCTTTGGACACCACAGAAAATCATATCTCCACCTTGAGTCCTTCAATGCGCTATTGCTCTCCTTCAGTTTGTGTGTGTGTGGTGTGTGTGTGTGTGTGTGTGTGTGTGTGTGTGTGTGTGTGTGTGTGTGTGTGTGTGTGTGTGTGTGTGTAGAGCTGTGCATGAATGTGAAGGTCTGCTGTTTGCAGTGTCAGAGACATTGAAATTCCTGCATAGATGAAGATTACTGTCAGTCGTAATGTTTGACATTAGATGCTCAAGATGCCACGAAGATTTGACATTGCACATTAAGCTCCAGTCACACACTGCCGTCTTATGGTTTGCCAAATAAACTATTTAGCAGTTCATAGTCAGGCTCATGTTCTTGGTATAGATTCTGCACCAGCTATCATTTAAGCACATATTTTCAAGAGCAGACTTCTAAAGAATTTACATTTTCTCCTGTCTGCTTAGAAATCTAAACTATATGAAATTTTAAGATCTCAATTAGCAAATTATGTTTGGTAACCACTGGGTTAATGCTTTGTGTTTGTGTTTGTTTTGTTTGAAGTCCCGCAGTGTGGATAAGCAGCATGCAGTCATCAACTATGAGACAGGGACTGACGAACACAAGGTCAAGGACCTGGGCAGCCTGAATGGGGTGAGTGCACAAATAGAAATATGCAAAACAGAGAGAGGTAAGGACAAAGATAAAGGAACAAAAGAGACAGGACAGAATAGAGGAGAGTAGGCAGCCACAGGGCACCTGGAGGATGGTTTAAATGGAGATGGATGGAGCCTACAAATGAAGAGAAAAACATTGAAAATATACCTTGAGGCAGAGGTTCTTAAGGGTCATTTGTTTTTTTCTTTATTTCGTCAATATGACTGTCTAATTTTCTGCTGCTAATCAATCTCTCTGTCAACAAAGATCTGTATCAGGGCTGAGGTCAATTGTTATCGACACCTAATTATCTAAATTAGAACTTAGGGGGGAAAATGTGTTATTCAAATATATGAGAGGGCTAATACAACTCAAAACTCAACATGCTACTTTGCCATTTTCTCATTAATTGGGAAACATTTGACTTAATTGTAAGTCAATGAAATTATCTTTAATAATCTACAATTGTTCATAGCGTGCATATACAGTACATAGTGCATATACAGTGCATAGTGCATAGTGCATATACAGTACAGAACATTTCCAGATGTGTTTTGGTCATTGTGTAGGCAAACACATTAATGTAACATTCCAAAACATCATGGCTGTGCCCCTTGAAATTTAGTATGTTTTTGAATTTCAACTTTGATTAGTTTGTATGCATTGATGTAATGTTGAACAAATCTTTGTTTAATGAAATGTCTGATAATTATTTTGCTTTTTTTCCTGAAGTGATTGGTCACTGATTTTAATAAGTACTCAGTTTTCCCAATCCGAGTGGATCCATGACCCAATGTAATGGCAGTCTGGATATCAATATGTATTTGATTGTTTCTGAAATTCTTTGTGCATTTTAGTTTATTTCACAACCTGGGACACAACAGTCCTTTAGCTATTTTCTTTGGCATGTTTACCCTGTATGTGATTCTTCCTACGCCCCACAGCTTCCGGTGCGGATTGGCACGTGTTGCTTCATGAAGCAATGCTGGTCTGGTCTGTGGTCTTAGTTGGCTATTAAAAGTTTTTTTGGGGGAAATGAAGTACATCAGCAGGCTGCAGGAAGAAGAATATAGTAGAGCTCAAAAACATCTCTGTAACTTTGAAAGTAATTCTGTATCATTACCTTGAGAAACATAAATGAACTCTGTGTTTTTCTTAGTTTAGATACACTTCACTTCTCGAGTTGACAGTAAAACCCAGCCACATGCTGTTAGTCATGTGCAGTGATTAGCATTCAGTCACAGCACACCAGATTGGACACATAAGCAGAACATCCCTCACATCCTCTCTAGCTCTCATACAGGAAGACAGAGTCAGAGCCACTTCCTGTGGTGTCAATGACTATCCAGCTTCTTTGGCTGGATTTAGAGGAAGTTTTCTCCTGCTGAGTCAGTAGTAAAGATTTGTCCTGAGTAAAAAGCTGGGTTTGGGCAGTGCTACATTTTCTAGTGCTCTAGGAGTGTCATCGCTGTTTTTTTAGGCTGTCTGGAATTAATCTCACATGAGGGAGGCAGGAATGTTTTATTACAGCAGAAGTGAAAGCATACTAGAATTTCATATGCAGTTCTGTGAAACCCGATCAGTCTGCATTATAAAAAGAAGAGAGAAAGGGGGGGGGCAGCAGTGGGAGAAGGAAAGAAAAGGAAATAAAAAATGTAGACATGAACATGCTCAGGCCTTTGGGCCCAGCTATGCAGACATATTTCTTTAAGGACACACCAGGATCAGCTGATTCAACAGTTCTGAATAACTTTATTCTAACCTGGACCTCGTTGACCAGGTGCAGGTTCAACATCACTGACTGGAAGCAAGAGTTTCCCTTCCCTCCTTTAAGTAGTTATACAATTTTCAATGGATTGAAAATTGTAAATGTGTCTTCATTTTATGTTAGTTATGTTACTGTAATTTTTTCTTACATTCTTACATTCAATTAACGTCTTTGTAATGGTTCTTGTCTTGCCTTTATTTTCCATCTGCAGACCTTTGTTAATGATGTCCGAATCCAGGAGCAGATGTACATTACTCTGAAGCTGGAGGACAAACTGAGGTTTGGATATGATATCCTTTCAATTTTTTGACCTCCCAACATCTCCAGCCATCATGTTTATCAGTAACTTCATTATTTGAAAACAATGTTAACCAGCAACTTCAAGCCCAGATATTTTGTTTTAATTCTTTGCAGTATTATTGTTTAAATTGTTATAAATAGATATAATACTATAGTCATTACAGAATTGTTTCCAGAAGTATGTGTGCATGTATCATAACTGTGTAGCAAGTATTTCCTTAACCTGTTTGTCTCACATACCAACCTGTTCACGGTTGTCAGAGGAGAGCTTACTGTGCCTGAGGAGGCTCTAAAGGTAAAAACTCACACAAACACACAATTTGTGCCCTTACACACACCTTCAAGTACTAATGTTCAACACGATGCACATTCGTAATATATTTTTTCAATTGTTAATCTCCATTTAGCATGAAAAATTCACCAGCGGCCTCCAGCTCAGCAAGAAGCCATCCATTGGGGAAACCACTACCACTACAACCACAAGCAGGTCTCCCTCTAAGACCCCCACAAAGACGCTAAAGTCCCCAAGTGGAAGCAGCCAAAGGTCAGGAGAGAGTAGAGCAGCAGACGGGGTCACTTCCTCCAAAGACCTACCAGTTAAACCTGTGGATTCTCATAAAGCAGAGGAGAGGTTGGGAGGTGAGAGACTTATTACATATAAAATGCAAAAATAAATGAATTAAGAAGCTTCCCCTATTGCATGTTTTTTTCATGTCTAGTACCCAATATCGTTTTTTGTTTACATTCTATCCTTAAAATCTGGATTTATTGACTGCTATAGCACAGCCACCACCAAAATTGAGCAAACGTATCTAATTTGCGTTAATATACTATAGCTGGAAGCATACCGGTATATAAGACGCAGTCTTTTGGAGGTCTCCAAAAGACAGTTTTTTTTTAAAACAGACCTCCTGCGTGATGATTTCCATTGCGTTCAGCAAAGTTCTCAACGTGCATTTTCTAGTGCATTTTCTATGCAGCTGTAAAGCTCTGTCAGTAATATCTGTTTTAACTTTGTGGAGCTTGCACTCCTAGCTACAGAACCGTAGTTGATGTCTCAGCCTACGGTGAACTTTGAGAAGTACGGACCCACGACCTGCGAGTCACGCTGCCCACGCTGCTGTCACTTGCTGCTGTCACTCGCTGACTTTAATTTAGGGGTCTTTCAATTAATATAGCACTCCATAATGGTTATTCACAGAACAATCTACCCCTGTATGGTGGCAGATGCTCTCATACTAAAGATGCTGTGTGTGTCAGCATTTTATACTGGTTTATCCATCACACTGGTAGATAATTTTTTAGATGAAAAATAGGTATCAAAAGGGTTTCTTCTACACTGGATTTTAGGGTATTTGCTTTAAATCTGTTTTATATTTTACATAAGCTTCTGCCCTAAGACTACAAATTGTTGAACAGACTTTGGTTAAATTACTTGTGGCAGGGTTTATTTTCTAAGGCCAGCAGGGGGTGGACAGTGTCACAAGGGAAAAGGCTTTACCCGCCACACCAACATGCAGCCACTGTGTGTAATCATTAGGAGGTTCAGGTCTGTGGGTGTCCCTATTAATTGACATCCCTGACCAGGCTCCGTTGCTAGCAGGGGTCCTGGTTAAGCTCCAGATGTTAAAACAAGGCCACACGAGGCTTGAATTATTGGACGGATTAAGCAATATCAGGGTCAGAGTGCCCACATAATGCAAACCCATCTGCCCATACTGCTTTTTAGAATCAGAAATTTGGGTGCGACTGTAACACGCGCACACATACGGTTTTGCATGTCTGCATGTTTTAATGACACCCTCTTTGCGGTTCTGGGAAAGTAATCCTGCAGTTTTACTACTGTTATACCAGGCCTCACCCACATATTGTACCATATAGTGAGCATACTTTCAGTAGTTTAAGGTTCCTTCCTCCTGCACACTATTTGGCACAGAGCATCTTGAATTATCTGGGTAAAGGCTTCAACGTACACTGTTCAGGGTAAGCTGCACTTAAAGCAAAGGAGGGTAAAGAAAGAAAAGTAGAGCAAAATTTAACAAAAAAAAATCCTGCTTTCAGTACCAGCTGGAGACCTTTTTTCTTGTCAAACTGTTTTTCTAAACTGCGTTTCCGGTCACTTTTCTTCTGGGCTGTCCAGTTTTTAAAAAGGAGTTACCACAGGAAGCTTATCCCATGTGAGCTTTCATTATAATGAAGACAGAGAGGCAAACGGAAAGTCCCTCTTTCATTGAAACTGAGGGTGTCTGGGAGAGAGAGTGAGAGTGAAAGAGAGCATGACAGACAGTGTGCACGTGTGTGTGTTCATTTCTGCTGGCTAAAGTTTGAAAAACAGGTCAGCAGTGCAAGACCCCACCAGAAGGGAATTAGTGCAGAAACACACACGAAGCTACACGAAGAGCAGCTGGGCTCACTTTGTGTCGTCATGATTCAAAAAGCATTTTATGCTGAGAGTGAGAGTAGGCACAGTATTATTATATACTTTATTTATTATAAAAAGGCCACTGTTAAAACTTTTTTTTAAGTAGTGCATATTTGTGTATCTGTCATAGTTGATGCTTCAGCACTGCCTCGTGGGACCCCCCTGTATGGCCAGCCGTCTTGGTGGGGGGATGGGGATGCAGACGATGAGAACTCCTTCAAACAGGAAACAAAGCCATCCAGCAAAAAATATGACAGCTCCATATCAGGTAGGATGCATTCTAGATTTGAATTTGTACTTCCACACTACCATCAAACAACATATATTAATATATACAGTGCATGACGATGAAGTAGTTTAAATCATGACATAAATCATATTGCCAAAACATCCATGGTGTAGATTAATTCAAAGCTTGTTGACTTTATTCCATATTTTTAAACAAACTCTCTTTTAAACAGAGTTGTTGCAAAGAGTTGATAATGTATAAAAACCTTTTTTTTTTTTACAGAAGAACAGTGTGTCTTGATAGCCTATTATTAAGTTAATATTCAGTGCCCTGACATGTTTGGTGTCAGTAAAATGACAATCTCACTTTAACAGGTGTCTTAACACTGTGCTAGAAAATATCAGATATAAACCGCAAGACGCATCGCAGAGCACATTGTGGAATATTACATATTGAAAGCCTAATAAATATTAAAAACGAGGTAAAACTTGAAGAGTTCTTTTGTTACTGTCAGATTTTACAACGTTACTTAAACTGTCTGGGAAGTGTTTTGAAAATGACATAAATTATTTCGAATCACTTGCTTGTATTTTCCTATTCATCCAGACCAAGCTGCATTCACGTCAGAGTTTCCCACGCATAGATGATACTCTGGCGGGACGCCCTGGTATATTTAGCCCTAGTAGCCTATATTTCCTTCCATATTATGTTGTTAGTGAAGCAGTAGCTTGATGTTACTACCCTCTAGCTCTGCTTATTTGCTTTAAGTGTGTGTGTTTAACAACGTATAGTGCACACAAAAGCTTTTATCAGAGACTATGTATGTGTGTTTGCTCACAATATGCATGTGTGACCAGTGTACGGTTGGACTCGGGGGATCCAGTTCACTGCTGGTGGATAGTCAGAGTAACAGGATTAGAGGCTACACCAACAGTGAAACAGCTCGGCACTGTGAAATCAGTCTGTGCCAGGCTGGTTTAGAGTGGACAAGCGTGTTCAGAAGGAGTGGGGGAGGTTAATCACAAACATTGGAGCAGACTGAAGAATCCTTAAATCTCTCACCACATCTGGATGGATAGTCTGGCACTGTCTTCACCAGCCTAAACAGGAATACTTCAACAGCTCTTTTAACAATTGGTTATTCCAAATATTTTTTCTGTTGTACTTCGCAGATGTTTGTGTGGATTTTGCAAATATTTATTTTAAGTTGGAGTGAGATAAATAAGACACTAATTTTGGGGTAAATCTGTGCAATCACGGCGGGGTGATTTGAAGCCACAAAGACTTTCCAAAAGAAAATGGGATTGGCTACATCGGCCATGGAAGAGGGTGAGTGTAGGCATTTTGCCTTCTTGGAGCATTGACTGGTTTAATGTTGTGATGTTGGATCTTTATTGAGGCGCTTCATATCCCAGGGGTCGTCTTTAAAAAATATTTAGAGACCACTCTCTTTATCTGCTATGACAGACCTTAAAATCAGATACAACAGTAAACAGGGAGTGAAAGAGTGTTTAAGTACAGAAGTCATTTTCTTTGAGAGTCTTTATTTGTTTCATGCATGTGTATATCAGTTAGGTTTAGTGTTTTTCCTCTTCTCCCTGCCACTGAATAGGCTGTGTTGTCAAAGCCCCCCACCCCCTTCCTTGTGTATTGTCACTTACGGCGATTGGGTTACGCCATTGCACCAGCTCCCCCATTCCTCCCTTTACACACACACACACTGAGAGAAACAGCGTTCAAACAAATCACTCGTTCACTCTTTACTCTAGCGATCATTAGCTAACCACTCTGTAATCACCAGTAAATATTCCTCTCAATTCCACAACAAATAGGCTAATGGAGCTAGTAAAGGCTTTTAATTTAAATCATCTTTTTATTAATTTTACGTCTGTATAACCTATTATTCTTCAAGAAATGTATGGTCTGTAGACTGTCTTTAGCTTTTAAGTATTTTACGTTTGAATGAGAAACAGAAGCACTGCAAGTTACAAATAGATTGTTGTTTTTAGTTTTGGAAGTGTGTTTATTTTCCATATAGTCAAGGCTTTTTTAATGTATAATTTGGCTCTTTTTTTCATTTTTTTTCTTTGTATGTAGAAGTAGAGTATGATGTTTAACGTTGAAGCTGGTTATTTAAAGCCTGGCTATAGCATGTATACCATAAGCCAACAAAAACATCATATGCACAGAATTCCTGAAAACTTTCTGAAACTACAGCAGGAATACAGCAGGCATATTCAGGTCAATTCTCCTCGAGCGAGACTTATGTCCTGTGAACGGCACATGACCATACACTATATGTGCCAGCATGTCCACTCTTTTGTTGATACTGTGACTATTTTGAACTTAGGGCTGGTCTATGTGACTATGTTACCACGATAAAAATGTTCATAACCGACTATATAGATAATTATCACAACGAATGTCAAATCATTATTTTTTTCATGTTAAAAGGCTGATTTTTTCTCATGAGTGAAAGTTGAGAAAACCAGATGTTTTTTTGTTGTTTAACCATTCTTTACTGTCATAACATGACAAACTATACATGAACAGGGGAACATTTCACAAGCACAGTGGAAAATGCAGATATGAAAGTTTGCTGCTGACGTAACACTTACTAGCAGAGAGAATAACTCCCATGATTCCCCGCATTCGATGTCATCTTTGGTTATTGTTTTTGGTTATTGTTTAATGTCAGTTGGCAACTAGTGCTTAAGGCATATTAGCACCCCCTTTCCCGTGATTGGGTGGTGTAATTACAGGTTAAATCTATCAAACTTTTATTGAACATTTGTCATATTTCTATTGGGAAAAATGAGATTGCGATAATCATCATTATCGTTTTATTACCCATGCATAGTTGAAGTACATATTGCACTGATGGTTTAACCCTCCACCCCAAAATGCACCTCTGTCCGACAAGGAAAAGCCTCCTGCTATGAGGTGCATCTGTTAATCAGCAAGTCAGGAAGATTTCAGGGGCACCTGCATGAAATGTAATATACATTTTCGAGAGTGCATATGTGAAAACAGCTCTGGTTTAAAAAACAAGTTATTTTGTTTGTTCTGTTTCTGGGAAGACCCTCTTTGTCTCTTTCGTCCTGATGCTTAACTATCATATTTTTGAAAACGTTATTTGTGAAAAATGTAATCAAAATTGTTACCATCAGTGGAATTCTGCAATGTCCATGTTGTTTCTTCTCTCTTATTGCTCTATTGATCTGACTTTATCCACTGTCTTTTCTCTAAAGTAAGGGTCCAAAAATAAATCTTTAAAAAAAAAAAGTGTACAACCCTGTTCTGAAAACAGCCCACGTAAACACCAACATTGAAATCAATAATCTCATCATCTTTGCTTTGTTTTAATTCTCAGACAACAAAGAGGCACGTCGAGGGGAGAAATCTAAAGAGGGCAGCCTTCATGCGACCGCCAACGACGATTCCAGTTACTTTGAGATCCCCACCAAGGAGGGTCACATGGCCAATAATGGCATCCATGAGATTCCAACCAAGGACACAGAGAGCGCCGCCACAGCAGGTGAGTCATTTATTTATTCAGATTTATTGGAAATAGAAGTACCTGTGTTTGTTTGTTTGTTTGTTTTGAAGTTTAAAGTTACTGTGAGATTTCTGTTTCGACCTTTGTAGCTCATATTGATAGCAGAGATAGTAAATCATAACCACATTTCTCAACTTAAGTGCAATTTGTCTATTTGGATTGTAATTACTGTAAAGTCTGCCTTTCCAAGAAATGTATTGTGGTGTATAGGGACATTACTTTATTACACAAAACACAGAGTAACAACTGGAACAACAGAGAAGTAATTCTGAAACAGATGCCGTCAGCTGACTAAAACATTATTGAATAAATATCCATTCGTTGATTTAATTTAACCATTGAGTAACAGTCGTATGTTCAAAAGTAAGTTTTTTTTAAAGTGCCCCACCAATCACAAATATTTTGTATTACTGTTGTGCTACTGAGTGATGGACAGTGACTGACCCAGTTACAAAACTGCAAATGTCTGATTCACAGCTCAGGGTCATGCCTCCTTCACCATAGAGTTTGACAACACTTCTCCCGGGAAAGTCACCATTAAAGACCATGTGTCAAAGTTCACACCCGACCACCCCAGACCGCGCTCCAAGAAGAGTGGAGCAGGAAGTGGAGGAGCAGGAGGGAGAGACTTGAGCACACTACAAGCTGCTATGATGGCGTCAGAGAGCAAGGTTGCAGATTGGTTGGCCCAGAACGACCCTACTCTGGTGCGCAGCGAGTCAACAGAGGACGACAGCAAGAGCATCAAGAGCGACGTGCCAGTCCACCTCAAAAGGCTAAAAGGTAGAGGTTGTTTTTTTATTCTCATTTCTATGTGTTTGAATCGTGTAAAAGTTTTGGATGGACTGTTTTCTAGTTCTCTCATTCTCTACTTCTTCCTTGATTAGGTCTCCTTGCTTTTTTCTCACAAAAGTGTTTCATCTACACTTTGCAAGAGTATTACATCGGGAGTTAACACTTATTTTACAAGAATTAACCATCATAAAACTAGTGATAATTTTTATTATTTTTAACTCTAAGTTTACAGAAATACTTGAAGCCCAATCTATTCCTCTACTGCTCCGACACTCAATAAGAAGGCTCAGCATGAGTAACATGAAATAGGCCCCCATAGAGATTTATTTTTCAGCATTGACAGAGTTAGTTAGGATCACATACACAAATAAAATAGTTTAAATGTGTTTTTTTTGTTTTTTTTTGCTGCTTGCACACTGTTCCATTGCAAAATATTTGTGTCACTGATTATCATGGCTTTGATGTTAAGAAAACAAGAAAAATAAATAAAAATCACAATCCAAATATTCTCGCAGGACAGATATTGTTGCTGGCGGCCCAGTTGCCTTCCCCTGATTACAAACAAATTCGCTAAACAAATACAAAAAGTGGTTGGTAAACAATACTGCATACCCTGCTATTGAGCCCCCTTGGATCACCAAGATGGGAACTCCTTCGGCCACACATGATATCTTATTGCACCGTATTGTATTGAAAGTAATCCTAAGATTCCCACCCCTACTGTTTGCCTCTTTGGGCTTGTTGCTATCTATCTTTGGGGTCATGTTTTAGATTGCCATGTGTATCACATGGTCCTCTGGGGCTCTTTGTTCCCTGAGTAGGTTCCTGCTGCCAGGGGGTTTGTGAGGAGGCGTAGCTATGCAAGGCTTCATGCTGCCTGTAAAGAGAAATGAATGTGATGCTATGCTAGGTGGTGTTAGTCTACATGCTGGTCAGGAGTTAATTAAATGGACGCCAATTTATGATGCTGCTGACATGTTAGGGGGAGGGACCAGCAGGCCGGAGCTGATGAAAATGGAAATCTTTAAGACAAGAATTGATAGCAGGGAGGCTAATTTATTAGATTCTGATACAACTACAGGCATGTCTGGAGGACAGAGCTGCTCACCTGATGATGATTATGTTGCCAACTGTCTATCTGACTGATTTTGGGTTTTCTGTGTCTGATAGATGCTTGATGAGCTGGGTATTTGGTTACCTAAAGGAAAAGAATGAAATCAGACCAGAGTGGTTGTTAATGTGCTGTGGTTGCGTCATCATTTCAGGAAGTAAAAAACCATAATAAATGTAGAATACACTGGAAAAAAAGAATGGAGAGGACGAAAAAAAATGGTTGAGGGCAGCTGGATGAAGAGCTGCCTATTGATGCTCGCTGTGAATATATGAAGAGGAAAACATCAGGTATTGGGGGGGGGGTTTGAGAAAGGCGGGAGAACCTCAATGGAAGCAGCATTTACAGCAGTAGCAGCAGTGGGGATTGGACAGAGCAAAGCAGAAAGACAGAGTGAGGAAGAGAGAGAGAGAGAGGCTTGTTGCCTGGGCTGCAGTAAAAGCAGGCAATGAGGAGGGAGCAGTTTTTGGCAGCTAGTTGGTATAGTAACTGCGATGCAAATGATGATAGGGAAAGAAAGACTATGGATAAAAATTCACACATCGAAAAAACTGGTGTTGATCATCTCTTTGTGTCTGTGTGAGAAGGCTGCTGAAGAGATGTGTGAGAAATATATTTCAGTGCTGATGTAGGGTGTGTGTGTGAGGCATACGCTGCTAACACATGGATTTGCGGGGTGAAATCCTTCGTGTCTGTGTTCTCTGCACGTGTGTGTGTTTGAGACATGCTCAGTGCTGAGCTGAAGACAAGCAGTGCAGCATGGATGAGAAGAGGCATGTGAGATGTTTAGGGTGTGTCATAGAGGTACTAGTCAGGGAGAGAAGTAGAGTTTTCAGAAGGTAATTGAGGAGGAAACTGAACCAAATCTTTTGATCTGTAACATTACGGTAAGTCTTTCTCTTGTTGCTGTATAGGGCAATGTCTTCTTACGGTCTGTCATTTTGAGTACTAACTGTTGTGAAAATCTGTGAATTGACATCCCTGAGATTGGGATTATTATCAGTTTAAGGTTTAAATGTGTGATCTGAAACGGTGTTAAAAACACAAGATTATACAATGTTCTTTTGATTCATTGAGACATTTTTTATGCAAATTTACTATTTCAATATTTATTGTACTAGTAAAAGGGAAGTTCAGTGTATTGTCTGCTGAAATACGACACAATTCAATGTATGTTTGGGGATTGCATGTTTGCTTGTCTGTTCTTGCAGCTGTGCATGCAAGTATACTGTATGCATACACATGTGGGTGTGTATGTGTGTGCCGCCGACGGTGGATGCAATGGCCAGCTCCACAGTGAGTCATGGCGGGGGTAGCAGGGCAGAGCGCTGGACTCTCACAGATTCCTCTGTTCTCCTCTGGCCCAACCAACGGCTTCTTTGTCTGGGGCACACAGCATGAAAGACCTGCCTCTCTGTGTCTGCTTATCTGCTGATCTGCTCAAGCTACTGCTGTAACACTACTCTTCTTTTCTATCTCGTTCTACTCATGCTGTTTTTTTTGACGACGTGTATGCTTTGTTTAATTCAAAAGTGGATTAATGGTGGAAAAGATGGAGAAGGTTGATGGTGGAATGTGACAAATGAGCTACAGCCTTAGGAATATGCCCAGGCCTCAGAGAAATTGTGATATCATAGTGTAGAAACAATATTGATAGTCAAACTACAGCAATTATGTACTGTACTTCAATAATGTTATGGGAAATGTCAACGACAGATGTCTTATTTTTATAGATACATAGATATTTAATCCATAACATGGCTCATGCTCAATTTTCTATTTTCCAGAACAAAACAATATGTTACTTTCCATAGGACTCTTTCCTGTCTCTCAAACTAATTTGTTCTCACAGGCTTGACAAATCCCCTCCATAGTTACAGACACATTTTTCAATTGCTTCGTAGATACTACAGACTGAGTAGTACTACCCATTACAAGTGAACTGATCCCAATGTATACAAAAAAGTGGAGTTCACACACTAAATACCTTTGTTTTTACTCAGTAACTATCATTACCAATATTCATATTTGGTTACTGAAAATCTATTGAAAATGAATATGCATTATCTTTGTATACTTGTTCTGTATTTGATGTAAAAAGATTGACAGTTTTTCCACTAATGTGGAACAGATTTAAGTCCCAGAAAATTGAGAAATGCTGCAATAAGAAATTATTTTCATAGCATACCTTGCTAACCACTCATTAGTTTGGAGAAAGCGTGATAAAGAAGTTGCTATATATGTTTTTTTCAGGATATAAATCTGTGCAGTGAAAGCCTTGTGTTGAGTGGAAGTGTTTTCAGAGGGTCATTCTTAACAGTCCTTTCCTCTCCTAACTGTCTGACTCTTGGCTTAACAGACTGCCTGATTGTGCGAGTGGCTGTCACTCATGACAAGTGGCGATATACTACATCCTGGTTCTCCTTCAGTTAAGGGTTCCCAATGTCTCTCTGTCTCCTTCTCTCTCTCGGTTTGGCTTTTTCTTTTCAACCTCTTTATTCAGTTTCTCCCCTTTCCTTGTCCATCCCCCTCCTCCTCCCCTTTTCTCTTCCCAGCCTCTTTTCCAGTCCCTCCCCTCCTCCTCCTCCTCCTCCTCCTCCTCCTCCTCGTCCTCTTCCATCCCTGAAGCTCGTTCACTCCCTCTCAAACACTCTCATCCTACACCACTTCCCCCTCCGTGTTTGCCTCCTCCCCTCCCCCCGTTTCTCTCTCTCATTGCCAGTCGGCTGGGCTCGTAAGCGTGTGGGTGGCATGTCTGGATTAGCGTGGCACACTGTCTGCCTCTGTCCAACACTTAGGGGACCCAAACTGATGAGAATGTAGAAATAGAGGTAATGGTCACTTGGTCACTTTTGTGATAGTTGAATGAGAGTCAGGCCATGGACTTAAGATCACAGTTCATTTAGGGTCTAAAAGGTGAGCAAACATTTGATTCTTGTTATGTTATCCACAACAGATGTGCTCTCAGGACGATAATAATACTGCTGTATTGTATCTGCTATATTTGAATTTATGCAACAGCTTTTGTCTCCTGTGCTACTGTTGTGTACACATGTTTTGATATGAATTTAAGCATGCTAGTAACTGTAACATCTTTCATTTAATCAGCATACACAAGTTACACTATAAAAACATTAGCAGCTGTACATTTTAGATATACACCTGTCTGGTAAGCAAAAAGATCTGTTTGTGAACTGAAATATATTATGTTTACATTATCAGTTTAAATTCTGTCATAGCAGAAAAAAAGTTTTGTTAATATTGAAGATTGTTTCTTGTTGTAACCAAGCCGTTTCCCTCTTTTCTCCCATTAGGCAGCAAACATGACGATGGCACCCAGAGTGACTCAGAAAATGGGTTGGGTCTGCGTTTCGCCAACCGTCGCCACGCCCTCGAAGAACGCCTAAAAGCAGCACACGCCACCGCAGGAGGAGCTGGAGGAACAGCAGGGGGGAATATAACATTGAGTGGGAGCAGAGGATCTGGCTCCCGCACTGGCTTCATGATCGAGTTATATGATGAGGAAAACCCTCGCAAGCGCCGGTCATATTCGTTTTCCCAGACTGCTCCCCTGCAGGTGGGAGGAACAGGTGGAGAGGGATTGTGTCCTCAGCCTCCTTCTCATCCTAAGGTGTTCAGCATTTCCACCTCTGCTGCTTCAGCGTCAGATTCTGGTAAAAAAAAAAAAAAATCAGTTACTTTAAAAAAAAGAGAGAAAAGTAAAGTTTACATCATTTTTCGGTTAATTGTATCACATTCCTGTTTTAGAATTCCTTGTTAAAGAACTATATGTACGTGTTAATGTTCTACAGTAACTGTGGCTCTTCTCTATGCTTTGGTACCTTCAGGTAAGGCTCCTATACCAGCTACAGTGACAGCAGGTGCTCCGACAGCTGCCCGCGCGCTTCTCAAACAGAGGTCAGAGGATCTAAGTATTGGTCGCTGCTCAGTCAGTACCGGTCTGGCAACAGGTAGCCCCACCAGCCCCAGCGAGGACGCCTCAGTCGTGGGAAAAGGAGCGGATACAGTCGGAGGAGAGGCAGAGGATGATCATAGCGATAAGGGGACTTACACTATCGACCTGGAGAACAAGAATCCAGAAGAAGAGGAGGCCAGGCGCATGATAGACAAGGTAGGGGTGGTCAGAGATCTTAGCACCTTGCTGCACCATGGAGGACCCTTTCCCCCCCAACCATCCAAATAGTTTTTCTTGACCGTATCGCTCTCATTTTAGCCCAAACTAAAGAGAGATTAAGACATTTCTTTCAAAAAACTTTTTTTGCATGTTGTGCCACAAAAAGAAAAATGTCTGTGTCACCTCAACACACACCTTAGGTCACACAGTGATTTTCTTTTCATTGCTTTATGTAATATAGATAATTGACTATTGTTGATAAGACCTAAGGAGACTGTAAAATGCATGGAGCTAGGTCATTGTTATCCAACCTTTGATATACAAGCCAGAGCCAAATACAATTTTCTTGAAAGCCACTATAGTTTGCCACAAATGGAGTGGATCTTACTTTTAAAATGAAATCTATTTATAAAGTTTAATCCATCTTTCAAATTTTTGGGGTGCAAGTTCAAATGAAGCGCGATTTGGCAAACAATTGTTTCATTTTTTTAAATGTTAGGTATTTAAGTTCTGATTTCTCTATTAACCCAAAAATATATATGTTAAACCAGAAACATTTCCAGAAGTGCATTCCAAGTACTTGCCTATTTGTGTCTGTTAAAGTAGCAAACAGATTGACAAGTATTATTTAAACTTACTCTGCAGTAATTCTAAATTAAATCAAAAATGGACCTGAGCACATTAACTGTCTTTTATGTCTTATGTACTTATTTTGCACTTTTAGGTTTAGCAGTCCATTGAGACTGATATGTGTCATTGCCACTAAAACAAGGTTATTGTCTTGTGGTTGCCTAACTTGACCACTACTCCATCGTCTCTGTCCCATTAGAAAACCTAATGCTTCTGTAATAGTCTGTAGAGACTTGCTCCATCAAGCACTGCTCTGTTTTACGAAACAATGCTTCAGGGAGGCTGGATGACCAACATCACTTTCTTTATTCTGCCCTTTCCTCTTGCACAGTAGTTTCTCATGGTCACAGAAAACAACTCTGAAAGAACCAAAGGTAGAGCAGGTTTAATGTTTCGTTTCAGGGTTAGAAAGCTTACATGTCTTTTGAGCACAGGTGAAGTAGGAATTCAAATAACCTTTTCATTGCATACCATATTCAGAAGTTTGGATTGCTGTAATATTTCATAATTTTTGGGAATTTATGGCCAATGAAGGTAATTTTATTGAAACTATTAACACAATTCTAAGTTCGACTAAATGATGCCCTGAATGAGCAGATGGCCCTTATAGTGTTGTTATCTTGGGAGTAGAAGTGATGTAATTAGTGGGGTGAATTTTCTAGCCCATGTTATTCTCAGTGCATTACATTCAAAAGTGGAAGTGTTGTTATGCTAATGCTTGTAATTAGCTGACACACTAATTGGCATACTGCTCACAGTCTTTCTGCTTTCATCCCCTCTGCCTTTTGTAAATACTTACTGTGTGTTTGTGAGTTTGTGTGGTTCCTGTTGCCATGGTACTAAACTATCAAGTGCAGACTGCATTGGATTAATTCATTAGCATCTTCTTCTTTCTGATCAGTTCAATTTTGTAAATCACAAGAGCTATAGAATAATATTACCATAGCATTTATACACATTGAGGCTTTGTAATATTCATTACAAAGTGTGGTTCAATGCTTTTATATGTATGATGCTCACAAAATAAACACTAACTTGAAAGTAGATTGACAATACAGCCATATACATAATGCCTGATTTACCTTTGATCAACATTTCCAGCCTGCTAGTTTTTTTTACCCTCCTGTTTTTTCCCAAACATTTTTAGGTGTTCGGTGTACAGCAGAACCAGGACTCCTCTATTCTGGCAGACCTTAAAGGAGAAGTAAAAAGAAAGGAGACGAGAGAGACAGGAAAAGAGGTAGAAAACCATCCTCTGACACACATTGGATTTCCTCTTGTCAGGGTGACTCATTTATGGTTCATTTTATTTTGGTTTGATAAATTCCATTGGGCCAAAATGACCTCTTACTCCCAGTGTTTCATTATTCATCACAGTCCAGTGTAGTGTTAGTCGGAGGTGAACTAAGTATCATAGTTTCACTGTGTGAGTCACAGTCACTCCCATTGCTTGACCACTCTTCTCCCATGGTCTGCTCATGGGAGTGGGCTAGTCCTCCCAGAGACTGACCTAGATCATACCAAGAAATGGACAGACACGCTCGCCCTTCGGGCAATTTCTTAGGAGGGAGGAGACTGGGGATATGAGCGCTGACAGCATTTCTGTAAGGAATTGTATGGAATTTCGGCAGGTGTCTTTTTCTGATTTGGGAAATGAGGATTGCGTAGTTCTGTGATTTATGCTCACAAACCGCCTCAAATCGAACAATTGATTCCCAGAGAAACATTGAAAAGAGGAGTTGATCTTTATACCACTTTCTTTTGTTCCTGCAAATGTATTCTTTTTCATGCATTACATGTGAAGTGAACAGAAAGGTGGTAAATGGCTTTCATGGTCTCCTTTTCGTCTTTTGAGCCACTTTGTGCCACATCTAATTGACTAAAATATTTTTTTCTCTCTCCTGTCTTCTTCTCTCCTGTCACCCCATCCCCCACTTGTGTCCCTGTCAGGCTCTTCCTGGTGACACGAGCTGGGTCTCTGAGTGGGCCAGTCTAGCAGCCAATCACACCAGGACGGACCCAGAAGGCTCAGGAGCAGAAACAGCCACCTTCCTGCACAAAGAGAGAGGTACATGGCTGCTGTAATCTCATTTATGTTTGAAACAAATAAGAATCTCAGTGAAGTGACTCTATCTTTTCTTCGTTTGAAGCTGATGCCTTTGAGTCTGGCGCATCCCTCAGCAGAGGTGAATCTTCCTCCAGTCTGACTGACCGCAAGCGCAGGACCCTCCCCCAGCTCCCTGTGGATGACCCCCGGGCTAAATCCAGCACCAAAGCTCTGGGAGTGAGATCTGAGATTGGGGAGAAACAAGACACTGAACCCCAGGAAAAAGAGAACAAGGGAGACGGGGAGTCCCCAATTGCCATAGGGGACGTTGAGATGACCAGTAAACGTAAACAGAGCTCCACATCTTCACCGTCAAAGGCTCCTGCTCGGACCTCTGGCAGCACTGAGCGGAGGAAGAGGTCAGAGGAGCGTAACGGTGGTGGAAGAGGAGCTGGAGAAGTAGGAGAGAAGTCTGGGAAGCCCTTAGTACGCCAAGGCAGCTTCACCATTGAGAAGCCCAGCGGTAATGTCCCTGCAGAGCTCATCCCTCACATCAACAGAGGCGGCACTGGACGAGAACGCAGTGACTCTGTAGGCAGCATGGATACTGCTACGCTTCTGAAGGACACTGAAGCTGTCATGGCATTCCTTGAGGCCAAGCTAAGAGATGAAAACAAACTAGAACAGAAAAGCAGTAAAACTGGCATCACCACTCAGGGTTCAGGTTCTGGCTACCCTGCTCGGACTGACTCCATTTCTCCTGAGTCAGATGTGGACACAGCCAGCACAGCTAGTCATGCGGCTGGAGAGGCAGAGAGAAAAGGCTTAACTAGCAGCGAACAAAAGCGACGTTCCCTCAGTAGCATGCACCGAGAGAAGAGTAACATGAGCACTTCTTCCAAGACCAGCATCACAAACTCAAGTGCCCGGGAACGCCTGGAGAGGAAGTCTAAAACAAGAACTGCAGAAGCTACAAGTCGGACTGACCCACGCCGCTCTGTTCATGCATCCTCTGCCCCCACCAGAGTGCGCCAGCCTTCTCTGGACCTTACTGATGATGACCTGACTTCTTCATTCCCTATCTCTGACAATTTTTCCTCAGACCAGGAAACCTACTCTGGACCATTGGGGCATTCCAAACTCGACAGTAGGTCCACTAAAACCTCCACCAGTGGCTACTCCAAAACCAGCCGCACTCTCCAGGCAGCCACAACCTCTTCGCTCAACAAGCAAGCCTCACTGCCTCAGCCAAGGCCCACAAGAGCCTCACTTCTCCGCCGAGCAAGATTGGGAGATACGTCAGACACAGATCTAGCTGATGCAGACAGGGTTTCAGTTGCATCTGAGGTGTCCACCACGAGCTCCACCTCCAAGCCACCGTCTGGTCGGAAAGGACTTTCAAGACTGGACATGCTGGCTCAGCCGCGAAGGAACCGCGTGGGCTCCATTTCAGCCCGCAGTGACTCTGAGTGTACAGTAACCCGCAGCTCCACCTCTTCACCCCGCCTGTCAGCTGAGACCGCTCTGCGTCTGGGCTTGCGCTCATCAACTCCAACAGAGAACAGGCTGACACCAAGGATGAGGGCCAACAGCGTGTCCAAACTAAATGAGACCAAGACGAAGACCACTACATCTGGATACTCATCTCCCACAGGTGAGCTTATCGAATTGTATACCAAAGTTCATGTTTGATCATTTCTGATAACATTGATTTGTTATGCTGTTCTTCTTGTCGAACCTGAGGATCATGTTCAATAGTAAACATCATTGCATATTTCACTATGTGTCAGTGTGTATAATCATTTGTTTCCCAACATTTCCACTGTTTCGTGACATACTTGTGCGTTGGTTGTCATTGTTCAGAGAGCACTCAGCCTGATCCTGAGGGTGGTGGTGCTGAGGAAGAGCTGTCGGGTACTGTAACATACCTGTGGAGCCTTGATCCAACAGTGTGTGTGTGTGTTTGTGTGTCAGACCTGGGTCTCAGCAATATAAAGTTCTATACACACACATAAGATAAAAAGAATATACACACTCAGATGTTGCAGTGACACCCTCAATTTGTTTGCCAAATGTAGACTTAAAAGTGTATTAATTGGTGTAAGTTAATCACAAAATGAAATCTAAAGAGAAAGTATGATGACCCAGCTCTAGCAAATGTTTCCATGTTAACTCTTTGTCTACGCCTTGACATCCATCAAGTGATGCAGTGATGAAGACCTACTGTATATGCTCTAGTCACACTCTCACTATCAAGACAACTTTAAAAACCAATCAACAAATGGTTATGAAACGATTCTCCGAATGTGGAGGTTTTTATTCTCTATGCTTTTTTTCCCAATTTATTCTTGAGAGACTGATAGAGCATGGCGTTGTCTCATCACGGTGCCGCTACATGAATGCATTTGTTGTGTGATCATAGTGAAACTTTTTAACATATTCTGCTTCTGCTTAAGGTCTTATGTCCCTTGTTGGATGCTTTTGTTGACTGGTTTGGGCTGAAGCTCTCAGATAAACTCATGTAGAGTTTTTTTTGGTTTGTTTTTTTGCTGCTGTTTCTGTTGTTTTTATTGTGGTTTAATAATCATCCCTGAAGCTCTTGATTAACAACAAGTTAAAAAAGTTGCTTCACCATCTTTCTAAATCACAGCCCCCCATTTCCACTTTAAAAGAGAAGTATGTTGCAGAGGAAAACATATTTTGGAACCTCAGATTTGTCTTTCTGTTTTTTTTGTTGTAAAATTAAGTATTTTCATTTGTTGAAATACATGTTTAAGAATAATCCATACTCCTAATTCCTACTCATATTCTACTGCCTAAAAATACTGATTTTCAGTGTCTTCCTGCAAAATATTTGGAGATTGTCGGGTCATAACTGGAATGGTTGGAGCTTGCTCCAGTAACAAAGTGTATCATGTTAACAAGCTCATTTATTAACTTCATTAATAACAAATGTTTTAATAGAATAAAAGTACTGATATATTGACTAAGGGTGGTTTCATATCAGGCCCAGATTCGAGTACACTTGCCCCAGTCCGGTTCATTTGATCAGTGTGAACAGAAAACGTACCTTACTCGGGTACTGTGCCGAGACCGCTTGAAGAGGGGGTCTCGAGCACAATTTGTGTGTACTCGAGTATAGTCCGCAGATGTGAACACATCCGGGCTTAAACAAGGAAGTGGACTGCTTTATGACGTAATTCTAAACGGCTCCTGACGCCTCAAAAACCGTCATATCTGCGCAGCATAGGCTCATTTTGTCCTCTGAGCTGCATGTTAGATGTTTAAGTAGGAAGAAGGTTGTTATTGGCGTCTCAGAAATAACAAACATCTTTAGCAGGATGTGAACTGGTGGTTGCCATAGTTGCTTCTTTCTGCATTTTGGCAGAGTTGCAAACCAACTTTGAGCATACTGCCACCTGCTGTATCGGACTGTGTACATACGCAAGTGTATTCGTGCTCGGAACTATGTTACTAATGTGAATGCAGACCAGTGGGGGAAGGGGAGGGGGGAGCAATAGTGCTCGGGCAGGGTACGAAACAATCAAGCCTAATTTGAAAATACCCTGAAAGGTGACATTTCCATTTGGTGTCCTTCACAGTGTCAAGTAGCAGCAGGTGGAGACGTCTGCCGCCAGAGTATGGCTCCACCTCGGAGGAAGAGTTTGGCTCCAACCGAAACTCTCCAAAGCACGGAGGACGCTCCCATGTTCGGCCCCATCACCTTGTACCACACCGCAGCACAAGACCCGGAACCAGTCCAAGCACAGGATCCAGCATGGTGACTGGCGTGGGTGGAGTTGGGGTCAAACACCGCATGAGAGAGCAGGAGGAGTACATCAGGGACTGGACAGCACATAGCGAGGAGATAGCCAGGTATTGATCTGATTGACCCAATGTTTTATTGTGATGTTAAAATGCAATTTTTTATAAGATCTGCTGTTAATTTTAAATGAACATGTATGTTATTGTAGCTTGTATTATATGCATTTGCATGTGTTGATATGTCCTAAAGAACTCCTCCATCTGTCTGATGGTAAACAGGTTATTCCCATGTGTGCGCAGGATCAGCCAGGACCTGGCTAAAGATTTGGCTGTCTTGGCTCGTGAGATACATGATGTAGCCGGGGAGATTGACTCAGTTAGCTCATCTGGCACAGCACCCAGCACCACTGTCAGCACCGCTGCCACAACCCCAGGATCAGCTATCGACACACGGGAAGAGGTAGGCCCTGCACGTCCCACGCAGCCGGAAATACAGGAGAGCATGAGAAAGGTGCCCGTTTTTCCTCTTTTACTTCAATAATAACTGCGTGTGTAATTCCATTGCGCTCATCCCTCCTGTGTTGCTTGAATGCAAATAGCCACATCTATGTTGCTTTCAACCTTTCATCTGATGTAAGAGGTTTTGATTTATTGACTCCAATTTAGTCCATCTTCATGTATTATTTTCTTTATTTTTACCATAAATATATTTCCTTATGGCTGTACTATTGAATTAATAAATGTTTATTTTGCCAGACAACCAAATGCTTTCGAGCTCCTTAGTATTTATTCCTACAAGGGATGTAAGGATACTTCAAAACAAAATTTTGTATATACAAATACATATATTGCAATAGTTGTTTAAAACCAATAGGGAGCGCTATTTGCTTTTGGGTACTTCTTTTCACATCAGTAGCTGAGGAGTAGATTTTAAACAAAAGTGTAAATAGAGAAAAGTGATATTTTTCCTTTTGATTGGATGAGAATTAGAAAAAACAAAAGAGGGATATTTATTTGTAAATCGTCTTCAATCTCGTCTCTACAAAGATTTTTTAAAATCACAAAATATTGTGATAAAATTGTATCATGAACCCAGTAATGCGAAACCTATCAAATCATTGAGTGGAGTGTCTCATTTTATCCCTATTTCTCACTAACTCTGATTCAACTCTATTTGAAAAAAAACTCGTATGACACGGGGGTTGAAAATTCTACACGATTTTTTTATTTAATTTCCCTCTTCCTCCTTTCTTTCGTGTCTTCCAGTTGGTGGATCGAGTGTTTGATGAGAGTCTCAACTTTAGGAAGATCCCACCTGTCATTTCAACCAATAAGGCTCCAGAGATTAACGGCAAACCGGTGGAGCTCCGTCCCCGCGCCCCTGACAGTCTGGAGCCTCGAGCCCTGAGAAGACGAACCTGGAACCGAGAAGAGGTGAGAAACAGCAGAAAACATGAGTTTGAAATACACCAATGACACTTCAACAATGACAAAATTGTTTTTTATCACTGTTTGGAAATAGGCAGTGTTAGACAGCCTGCTGATCAACTCAGTCTCTCAGCTCTCCACCAAGATCAGACACTCGATTGACAAAACAGCAGGCAAAATCAGGTAACTATACGTCATTAAAGTATAACCTGTATGGAGCAGAGTATTTACAGTGTATCTATCCCTCAGTGTGACATTGTGTTGCTTCGTTGGGTCAAAGCCCCTGAGATTATCAACATTTTTCCTCTTGTATGTTATTTTTTTCTCCAGGATATTGTTCAAGGATAAGGACAGGAACTGGGATGAAATTGAGAGTAAACTGAGATTGGAGAATGATGTACCTCTTCTGAAAACGTCCAACAAGGTACAGAAGCCGTCTGTCTGACCACTCTCTGATGTTGAGCAAAGCAAAGAATTATTTCGAGCTGAATGCATTGTTTTTTATTCCTCTGCAGGAGATATCCTCAATTCTGCTCGAACTGAAGAGAGTTGAAAAGCAGCTTCAGGGTAAAGACACATACTCACACACACACACACACAAAATCACACTAATACAATTGACAAATGTCTCTATAAATACAATTATACCTTTTTTTGGAGGGGCATTATTGTATTACTGTACTTACACTCTGTGTAAATATGTGACGTGAAACAACCAACTTTTCAAGGCCTTTATAAAAAGATGGATCAGTGCATTAATTCTCAGCCTGTTTTTGTCAAAGTGATCAATGTGATGGTGGACCCAGACGGGACTCTAGACGCCCTGGCCAACCTCGGCCTTACCAGCCCCACCACCCCAACCAAGCCCTTAACAGCCAAAACAACTTCCACCTCTGCCACCAGCCCTGGGTCTGCGCCCCAAGCCAAAGAATCACTTCCTGAGGTCTTACCTGGGCCTGGAGGATCATCAGCAAGGGTTCAGGCTTCCTCTGCCAACACAGAGGCGCTTTCACGAGACCCCAATGTAGGATTAGGGTTAGCAGGAGTCGGAGGGCTGCCATTCAACCGCATGCGGCCCAGCGGAGAGGAGGCCATAGCACAGAAGTAAATAGAAGTTGAAATAAGATGCAGCCTTGATTGGAGTGCTGTTGGCTGTTGTTAAACAAGCAGGTGTAAAAACATTTCAACTGTTTCCATTCTGCTCAGTCTACCAGTCCAGAATTATGGGTATGATATAAAAGTACCTTGAAGTGTCATCAGACTCTGCCAGGAATTAAGCACTTCATATGACCACTCACAATGCTAAACCCCAACATCATGGAACTCTCTTAGCCAATACAGAAATGGACTGAGTTATTTACTTTACAAGTTTCTCAACTCTGAACTCTTCATGCTCACTTGCCCACCTGACTTCCTGATGGACCTGGCTGCTCTCTCAGTGGACAGATCTCTTAGCTTGTACAGTCTCCTTCAGTCTCCACTTGCCTTCTCCACGTGTCTGGACCCTACCTACACTAAGGACTTGCCTTATAACATATCCTAATAGTAGCAGCTCCCGCCCCCCTTCAGATAATATTGTACTTTAATAAGACTTTATTAAAGTACCTTTCAGACAAACAGAAAGCATTGTAAGAAAACACTTGCAAAATAGGATCTATTTACACTATTGTATAATGCAACACAACACCATGATCTATAAAATAATATTTCAGCGGCCTTAAGTAACAGACATGCTTTGTATGACTGAAACTGTTCACAAATCAGACAGAAGTTGCAGAAGTTTGAGATAATCCACAACTCTAACCGTCCACTGAAGCATCTGTAAAACTATTCTGTTGAGAAGGATATTTTAGTGCCTCCTCCTTTCCCCTGTATGTTTTATACTTTCCCTTCCTCTATCTTCCTGTAGTGTTACACAAAGTGTGTAACTCGAGTAGCATGTACAGGACAGAGCTGAGAGCTTTGCCTCCTGAATATTGGTGTCTGTGTTGATTGTACTAATGCTGAGTCTTAGTTTGATTTCCCTATAGTAAGAGCATTCTGGAAACCAATGATCATTGTCACTCAAAAGAATCACTTACCAAAGTTAACCAGATTAATGATACTGTCATTTTCAAACCGTCGAGCTATGTTGAAATTCATCTGTTTTGCTAAATATTCTGAATCTGTATTTCAGCAGTTTGTTTTATACATCTCACCATTTTCTGCAGTTTTCTCTGAATGTCAAACGCCCCTTTTCCATCAAAAAATCGAAGATTTCACCTTTTTATTTATTATAATGAAACACTAGTTAAATCTTTGCGGTCAGGTTTTGGCACATGGGAGTTGTTGCCCTTAGCTTTTAGCAGTACATGCACTCAAGTGTCCTAACTGTATGATTTCCAATTGGATTTATTTCTTCCTTTTTCTTTTTCCTGTCGCAGATGCTGTGACATATTCCTAACCAGCAATGAAAAAATAAATCTTGGTTTTAAGCTAAATATTTAATAGTATTTAGATACTGGTTTTGTAGATATTGCAGACCATTATTTTTTAATGCTTTAAGTCACCTGACAAAACATTTTTTTTTATGTTTTTGACCCAACCCGTTTTCAGCTTGCTTAATCACTAAACCTAAACATTGAACATATGCAGCCGTTTGTTGTAGTTGATATCTAAAGAAATAGGCAACTTTCAATGAGGCCTTTGCACTTCAAGTTTGTTAATTCGAAATTAACACATCTTTGAAAAGAAAATGCTTGTTATATGGCCTCATATCAGTGTATATACTGTAGGTGAATTGTTCTATTCCCACCAATGAGGAGAAAATCCAGCGTACTGGAACTGTGGAATTGCAGAGACAGAAGACTTTTACCACTTTTTTTAAATTGACTTTGCTGCCTTTCTTGTTCTTTTGGGCTCTTATGAGGACTAACGGGTTTCTCAGTCTCTCTTCATCTTGTAGTCTGTGCTCTAGAGTAAGGCAGTATATTAGAACTTAGAAACTTTTACAATTGTGAATTTAGCTACCAGAATTCATGTTCATTTCCTTCCCTCTCTACTGTACTGTACAATGTTTTTCAATGCCTCGAAGTGCCCATTTTGACAATAGAAAGGCATTGATGAAAAGAAAAGTAAAATATGTTTAAAAATCTCTTTTTTGCACATCAGATTGTGGTGTTTTTTCATACAGAAGTGACAAAGCAGTGAAAGGCTGTATCAAATGTCAAATAGCTTGACAATGAATGATATTAATTTACCTGATATCAGAAGTGACTGCCTTGACTCTCTGGAACTGTTCTGTCTGTAAAAACAAAGCCTCTAATCACCTTTTTTTCCTTCTCCCTGTGTTTTTCAAAGTGAAGTTAGGGGACTGTGAATGCTAGGTACGTTTATTTTTGGAATTCTACATGTCATCCGATCAGTGTTCTTTTTTTTGTTATTTTTGTAAAGAAAAAATAAAACCATTTTATTTATTTTTTTGTTTAATATTTTGTGGATGTTTCATGTATTTTATATTTGTTCCAACTACCTGCATTGTTTCTTACTGATATTAAAAGAGAGCCATTCACTTGTTTGTGTTTTCATTAAGATCCACTAACATGAACAAGAGTGTTTTCAGACTTCTATTTGAATATTAAAAACTTTTGACAACAAACCTACACTTTTTCATTTTGAAACTGGATGGCATATCACTTTGCAGGTACATTTTCCAATTCCAATTTAGATACAATAAGGTGGGGGTTCTAGGTGCTCTAGGTCATAATTCATGTCTGAAAAAGCAAAGGACTTGGCTCCCCCTTGTGTTGCCTGAGCTATAAATATATATAAGAAAACCATGGAAGTTATACTCAAGCTGCAGTTTCAGGTATTTACTGATACCATTTTTCCTCACAACAATAACTGCAAACCATTTCTGTGTTTCACTCTTAGGGAACATTAAGTACTTCTGATCAAAATAATACCAAACATCAACACTGTAGGGTTGTCTTGATAGAGGTGGGAATCGCAGGGTAACTCACGATTCAACACAATTTGCAACATGCAGTTTACAATAATGATTATATCACAATAATGCCGGCAATTCTGCTATGATTAATAGATTCTCAATAGTTGACTGACTAAATATAAATTGCCCCATAAAAGTTGAAGTGTGTGATGGATGTTTTTATTCACTGTGATTTGGTGTCAGTTTCAACTCTAATCACACTTCATCTCTTAACTTCTTTTTACTGCTCTCCAACATGATCTCACTGTCAACTTCTTTCACCAATTAACTTTTGTTCACACTACCCTGTTCATGTCATAAGCACCACGGGGGTGAGTCATGAATTGGTGACTCTGTCAGCTAAACTTCCAGGGAAATCTAGATTGCTCTATCAATTTTTGTCCCACCCTTACTTCATATTCCAAGAAAGATTCACCCCGGTAAAAGGAATTTTGATAAATACAACCAAGACTTAATATTGTTGTGAAGTGCATTTTATTCTCCCTGATGTATGTTCAGGTTTTGTTTGACTCTTATATCACATGACAAACAGTTGTAGTCGACACTGATGGCAAGACGGTCTGTGCTAGTTGATGAAGGTTAACCAGGGGGCCATTCCATACTGCGTCCACCCAAGACGTGGATGTGGATGTGGTAGACCGACTGGCCTCCATCAGGTCCATCATTGATGACAATCCTGTAGCCTTTAGCAAGGCCCGCATCCTGAGCACACTTCTTTGCGACTATCATCAAGTGGCCCAACAACTAAGAGACAAAGAAAACAAATGAATGCATGCATAAGCAAAAGCTTACAATGCAGTATTCAAGATATCTTAACTGTCCAGACAAGAATTAAGTTGGCTGTTAAGAGTTCCCTCTAGTGGTCACGGACAGAAAGGTGAACAAATCTCTCAAAGTGGATACATTTACATTTATCTATCACAGAAATTCATAGTCATACTTACTGCAGCATCACATTCCTCTGCTTCCGACAACCTCACAATCGGCTTTTTAGGAACCACCAGGATGTGAGTAGGAGCTTGAGGTGAAATGTCAGGGAAAGCTACACACTGGAAAAACAACACAACAATGATGAAGAAGAATTAATCCTGTGCAAACAACAACTACTGGGTTACAGGTTTGCAATGAGTGGAAAACACACCTATATGATGAAATGCAGAGAGTCCTTCCTACATTTATATTGTGACTTCCACTGAAGTTGTTTGTGTGGGTTCAATTTGTTTTACTGCATTTTGGGATGTTTTTGCTTTGTTGTCTCTCTCATTGACTATACACATAATAAAGATATATGCAATAGTTTCAACAAGAAATCTGGAAGTGAGTCTCATTTCAAGCTGATGTTGGCAATCACTGACACTGTACAGAGTCAGACTAATAGTATGTAGTATATAATAGTAGTGTAATAATAGTATGTTTAACTCTTGATGTTACATTTCGTCTTATCTCAAAGATACCAAACTGTACAATGCCTTGTTCAAAAAAGTGTAGGAACTTAAGGTTATATCACCCATAGTTTATCACATGTGGAAGGGAGTTCAGAAAGGTAAAAAAACCACAACACAACAGAGTCAGAACCAATGGGATTCTAGTACCTTTTCAAATGACTTTGTGCCATGACATCTTACAAATTTACAACATAATAACTGATGTTTGTTCACATTAAACATCAGAGTAACTTTTGACATGTTACAAGGATGTTTGTTCAATCGGAGGCTCTTCCTTATTTGGTTGGCACTGGTTCATAAACATCTGAGGTTAATGACTGTGATCATTGCTTTATGAACACAAAGCAGTCAGGCCTGTTTGACTGCCGAATTGTCAGGTTAAAACTTCTGACTGGGATTCATTCGTCTTCAGCACTTTAGGAGCTGTATAGATAATTTCCGATTTCATCAAAAAAAAAAAAAAAAGTACAGAAACAATAACTCACAACATGTAACTATTGGCTAAATATTTAAGGGCTCATGCAAAATTTGGCCAAGTGAGCCTTGTCATAACCTCGAAAGCCAAATATCTAACTGCAGTACTATCTGCAACAGCATATTATAAAATTGGAATAAAATTGGCATGATGACCAAGTTTTAAAACAGAAAGAAAGAATATCCTGGATGAGGACCTTGCAGTTTCAAAGATCAAACTTCATATTGATTGTTAGATTTTAATGCCAACAGTTTGAGAGCAAGCTATTTGTATAATAGTTTGTTTTTTTATGTTTGTTAAACGACCTCCCAATAATAATCGCACCATCATACCAGCAGAATTTACAGCACAGCTGCAGATCATGCAGAGCTAGCTCGGAGCTAACTTTTGGGTTAAACGTCACGCTGCCCAGGCATGGTGCACCCAAAGAGTTAATGAATGAAAGCATTTCACGCATACCTGATCATCTTCGTAGAGAAGTTGGACAGGGATTTCTTTACGTATTATTTTCCCAAATATTGTGTCTCCACCCGGCTGGGCTACCTGCGCTTTTTTCGTTTCATCAGCCATGTTGGCGCAGATGAGCAGCAGCCTGTCAGCGCCGCTTTTGGTACTGTAAGAAAAATGCAGCGAACGCTCATTGGCTGATCTAGCGCGTCATTCGTGTCTTCGCTGATTGGTCGTTCGTCATCGGAACTTCCTCCAATTCCGGAAAAGAGCTGAAGAATTCAACATGGGTACACGTTTGAAGGTGAGGTTATGATATTGTTTTTATTAGAGAAAAATGGCATAATAACATCGTGTTTACTATTCGTGCCCTGTGTTGTTTTTATTAGTATAAATACGGCGCAGTAGCTGAAGCTGAATGTCTTTTATAAATGCAGGTCCTTAGCGTGTTTAAAAAGCTGCACAGAACCAGGCTGGCTGTGTTCAACCATGATGACAGATCACTGACAGGTGAGTTATATACATGTTTTTATTCCAATTTCGGGTTATAGTCTTGTTTGACGATGTTTACCAACCAGCCCCTATCAATCATAAAGTATCTTCAGGCTCTGCACCATCAATCCATCTATTTCCTCCTACACAGCTGCAAGATTAAAGATCAATGAGGAGTTCCGGAAAAACAAAAATGAACCTTCAGAAGAAAACATCCAGAAGGTAAAGTGAATGGTCATCAGAAAATGATGTGATTTGTTTATATTGTATTATATTGTATCATAGGCTATAAATAATACTTATCATAATTAGTATTATAATACATACAATGTACAGACTGTTACATACACATATATATATATATGTATGGCCCTTTAGTAGTAATAATAATAATGTAAAAAGTCTTGTATGCTTAGCGCATGGACATAAGAATTGCAAGAATTGGATTCAAGGATTACAATAATATGACTACAATTTTTTGGAAGTCAAGGTGCCCATACAAAGTACTTGATTCCTTCATCACATTGTGTTTCAAATCCAATTAAGTATTACCTAATTGTTTCTTCTTGAGTAACAAACCTACTCAATAATGGCTATAGTGCACTCACAGAGAAATTTACAAATGTAAAGCTCTATTGCCAGATGCTGCTTCCCTCCCCTCTGCCCCCACGAACACTGGACGTTGAAACCCCCTCCCGTTTGCCACCAAGAACTCTGGACTAATAACTCTGAAGCTAACTTTTCAAAAGTGCAATCAGTTTACTGCACATTGCACATATTGCACAAGTTTACTTTTTCTTTCAATTTTATTTTATTTTATTTACCATTTTGTACCTTTTGCACAATTTAGAATTCTCTCTCTATTTTACCTTATCTTATTTTACCTTATTTTGGTTGTATTGCACCGCGGGACGGAGACAAACGAAATTTCGATTCCACTGTATGTCTGGCATATATTGAAATTGACAATAAAGTTGACTTTGACTTTGATTCTAATTATTATAAAATGAAATGTTTTTTTAAAAAGTGGCTTCAACGTATGGAAGTTTTTTTACATGTTAGTGCCTGTTACAGTTCGTCTTATATACTCTTTGTTTCACAGATGATTAAAATGGGCTCGGATGTGGAAATTGTTCTTCGAGAATCCGTGTTACAAATGGAACACCTTGGGGAAAATACACTCTGTATGTTGTTATTTTTTATTCTAATTTTATGTGGAAAAATACAAGAAAGTAACAAATGTGTTCAAAGGAAATCTTCACCTCTGTCTGTTTTTTCACTTTAAATGAATAATTATTCCTATGATATGTACTCACTTCTCTCTTTCTCATACAGTGCTACGACCAGAGAGAGCCTACTACTAGAAAATGTACCCTACTGTGACCAGCCCAGGAAAAAGTCATGACGGATCAACCAACAACTTTGACATCAAGAAGGACTTACAATCAACTATAAACATCTATTTGCATTTAAAAATACTTCTCCTCAATAGCATTTTACGATTTTCATGATCTGCAGAAAGAAGGCCTTATTTAAGATCATCACTGCATGGATTTCAGCTGTTCTGTCGTTAGAATTCTAAATGGAATATTTGTGTACAGTATTTATCAAAAGAAAAAGTTTTTTTTCTCATTTGAGTGGTAGATGTTTTAACTATATGGAAGATACTTTGACGCCACATAAAATGTTAAAAGTTTGTCCAAGTTTGTCATTTTTTGATGATTGATTAAACCACAAAAAAAAGAGATGTGATGGTAGTTGGACCTTTAAAGACCACCACAAATTTTCAATAAAAGTCTCAGAAAATGCATAGTTGCAATAGCGATCACTGTCTGCTTTAATCACTAATGCCTAGTTCAGAATTGAAAATTGCGTCCTTGAGCGTTAATTGTCGGTAACTAAGTTGAGAAATTTTAGGGAGTGCAGAAAGTATACTTCTATAATAATAAAATGCCTGTATTTTTATGTATGTTTATAATACATCAAATAGTTGAATAAAAACCAGAGATTGTCAGGAATCTATGTCAAATTTGTGAGCATAAAGTTTGAATTATATCATTTAACATTTATTTATTTGTATTTAATCCAATTAACTATTGTCATGACTTTTATAAAACTTAAACTAAACTTTGTAATTCCCATTGAGGTGAAAGCGTTGATTCTTGCATTTACAAGTTACAGCCAACAAAGGAAATACATTTCCCACAATGCCAACGAAGACACATTTTATTACATCATCATATTGCGACCGCTGTTACTCTGGCAACGCTTCAAACGGCAAGTTTTAGCCATTAAGCTAACGGAGCTTTTGCACTTCTTTCTGGAAAACGAATGTAAATGTCGAAAATAAGGTGAGGGTCAATTTATTTATGAAAACATTACACACTTTTACTATTTCAAAGTCGATAAATGTTGTATTTCTTGTGTTTTGTCCTGTATTTGTCAGCTCAGACACGCTGTGGGAGTTGGCTGCGGCGGAGGCTGGAGGTCGGGATGAGGATGGAGGAGAGCCGGTCAGCGAGAGGACTTTGTTTCTTATGGGGAGCAAGGCTGGGGTGTGTTTCCTGTCGTGCCAGACTATAGCCTTGAGTTAAAAGTTACATACATAATTCATTGCTTAGTTATTAAGCTTACCTTTTCTTTTTTTAGGGTAAAACGTCAATTCTCCTCAGATGTCTCGACAGGTCAGTTTGGTTTACGTATACAAATATTTTACCTCTACAATTAACAATTCAACCTATGATGATAAACCTAAACACCTGCTAGTGACTCTCTTCTAATTCAGAATTCAGGCTACTGTAACCGAGACAGTACTTCTAAAGCAAAAGTAAACATGCCCATTATTATTATTTAGCTTTCAGAAGCTTTCAGAAGCGTGTCATAGTTTTGGACAGAGAACAGAGATAATAATAATAATAATAATAATAAATGTTATTTATAAGCGCCTTTCAGGACACACAAGGACACTGTACAACAATCAACATTTTTAAAAACAGCATACAATAAAGAAATGGAATTGTGGACAGTGTAATTACAGTTAAAATGTTAGAGTGAGTAGGCGATCTTGAACAGATGGGTTTTGAGTCTGGATTTGAAGATGGGGAGAGAGTCAATATTGCGAATGTCCGGTGGCAGAGAGTTCCAGAGCTGGGGAGCAGAGCAGCTGAAACCTCTGCCCCCCATGGTGCTGAGGCGGGCAAAGGGCACGGTGAGGTGGATGGAGGAGGAGGATCTGAGGGAGCGGGCTGAAGTGGCGATGTGAAGGAGGTCAGACAGATATCGGGGGGCAAGGTTGTGGATGGCCTTGAAGGTGTACAGGAGGAGTTTGAAGATGATTGACATCATTGAGATGATGACGATACACAAAATGACACAAGAGAAAGCCACAGTTGCTGAAAATGACAGCAGTTAAAGGTTGAAAGCAAAGAAAGCTTGTCAAGAGATAATGTTGTGACTGAACAATTGTACTTTTGATTTATCCTCCAGGGACGAACCGTCCAAGCCGACTCTGGCACTAGAGTACACTTTTGGTAGACGGGCCAGAGGACACAACACAGTAAGGAAACTCCTGGACGCATCTTTTGCAGAATTGCATTAAGACCAATAATCCCATGAAATGTGACCACATGACTAATTTGAATGCTCCTTTGTAGTAAAATAAAGAGAGGTATACATTTTTTTATAACATTTTTTATACAACAGCTTAATCTGTGTAATTTGTGAGGAAAAGGCTGGTTTTCTCTCTTCCAGCCTAAAGATATAGCCCATCTGTGGGAGCTGGGAGGAGGGATCTCTTTGTCAGACCTAGTCCAGATCCCCATCACTACTGTCAGCATCAGGTGGGACACTTACTCACATTCCAGAGGTCTTGTTTTGTCTGTCACTGTTCATTTCACGGCTCTAACTTATTTTTGAGCGGTCCTTCTTTTTTTTGTGTTTATATTTATGTTTGAAATGAATTTGATATGATCAGCTGAAACCATACCAGTAATGGAAGGGTGTTTTCAATGTTTGAGTCTTATTTCTGTAGCAACTGCTTCTTCTATGTGTCCTGCCAGTGGAAATAGTCTGTCCCATCTTCTCCTAGGTCTCTCTCTGTTATCCTCATTCTTGACTTGTCTAAACCCAATGCACTGTGGGGAACAATGGAGAGGCTCCTGCAGGCAGCACAAGCTCAGTTGGAGAAAGTCACGTCTCAGGCACAACAAGGGCAGAAGAGCAAACCTGGTGCCAAACACCAGACATCTGTTCACTCAGCGGCACGTGTCTTACCGAAAGACTTCCCTGTAAGACCTCAGCTCATTACATGCATCTATGAAGAATGAATTGTCTTAGGCTATTACCATTATAAAGCACTTGTAAATATATTATTAGAACCATTATGTTAGGTGTATATTTTTTGATTAAATATTTGTTTTATAGGATAAAGAGCATTCAAGCCTTTGTCTAGTACAGATGAAAGATGGCACGTATATCGTATGCTAACGTTGACTCTGTTAACAGGACAGAGAGCTGATCAGTCCCTTTCCTTCTCCTCTGCTCATCATTGGCAGCAAATATGACCTCTTTCAGGTAAAACACCTGCACAAACCTGTATGTAACATATTAGCAAATGAACTTTTTAGGCGGTGGATGTAGTTTGTTAAATTATATTCACAATATAATTGGTTATCTTGCCAATTATCTTAAATACTATTTTCAATTATTACTTGTGTTGTACATTTTGAGGAAGATTGTTTTGTCTCCATGTGTGTTGTAGGAATTCGACTCTGACAAGAGGAAAGTGGTCAGTAAAACACTGCGTTTTATAGCCCACTATTATGCAGCTTCTCTTATTGTAAGTGTGCAATTACCAGATATTCTTTTGAATGCATTCATTCTAACGACTGCTGATGTTCAGTTTTTATTTACATAATTTTTATTCTTTTCCTGTACCTTTTTTTTTTATCAGTTCACAAGCATCAAGTCGGAGAGCCTAATGTTAAAGACTAAGGGCTTCTTTTCTCACCTGGCTTTTGGTCTAGACAGAGGGTAAGGAGGATAACACTTAGGATAACACAAATAATTGAAGACATGGACTGGGTAGACTTTCTTACATTTTTACATTATTAGTGATCACTTATACTTGTTTTCTTAATGTCGTCTTCAGGAAAACTTTGTCCAGTGACCCCGCTAAGCCTCTCATCATTCCAGCCGGCTCAGACTCCTTCAGCCAAATAGGTAAGCACAGCACCACTCTGTGGCCAAAAACCATAATGCATTTAACCGGAATTAAAGTGCTTTTACTAGGTTGAGTTGAAAGATGCACATACTGAATGATTTAGAGTTACAGAGGCATGGAAATGTTGTGATATTGTGTGAAAGTAACGCTTCTATTGTGTTAGGATCGCCTCCCACTACTGATGTGGACATTACATCTCTTCATGCTAAAAACCCAAAGGACCTCTGGAAGAAAGTCTATGAGCGTGTTTTCCCACAAGAGGTAGTTGAATCATTGATGGCACCTTTCTCTTTGTTAGTAACATATTGTGTAGCTGATGTGTAAGAAAATTAAAACCCTGAAATTGGACATTCACAACCTTACAAAATGACTTTGTATTTACATAATTTGCTAAATTTCTTCTTAACAATGCACATGTTTTCCCTTATTGGGAGCTATTTTAAATACATTTCTGTCCATTAACTGACTTTGTATTTGCAGAATACCAGTGAGCAGAGGGAGCTGAAGGATCCAGCCAAAGACCCACGTTACAGTGAGCCTCAGATTGATGCCATGAGAGCCCAGAAAGACCAGGTAACACTTCTAAACAAATCACTTGTGTTGTATTACTCAATTAATTTCATGCCAAATCAAATCAAATCCTTCCTGGCATCAGTCAGAGGAAGTGATGCGTTCTTTGCACATGTACTTGCCTGAATCCGTCTGTCTGCAGCTGATCTTGTACACTACTGCTCCTCTCAATAATTTCTCATGTGTGCACATGTATGCTCAAGGACCTTTAGTAGTTTTGATGATTGTTCAGTTGACACAAGACTTGGTTGATTATAGTCTATGGTAATAATCCCCTTAAAATCTGCACAATATAATATGAAAAAATCCCTGTTTCGGTTATTCTTCCATCTTCATTATAAGGGAGCTGGTGAGGTACAATTGAGTTGTATTCACTCCCCTTTGTTTTGAAAGTGTGAGGAAGGTAGGGAGGGTCCCCTTCCTGTTGGAATTATTATTAAGTACATTATTATTTTATTTTATATACAGTATATGTTATGAATATCTTATGTTGGTTTAATGATGACACTTGCAAACATGAATTGAATTAGTTGTTTGCCCTTCTGCTGCCCAATAAAATTTACAGTTTGTTAATGATTTTATGTGACATGAGTCTTCTGAACTCTCCTTCACACCTGTCTTTAACAAGGGTAATGACCCAGAGTAACCCTTTCCCTTTCATAAACCTGTGTTTACTTGTACGACTGTTTACAGGCTGTAATATAATATACTGTAATATAGTCTGTGCTCATAACCTCAGAGATTAGACACACCTCTCAGACATACCCAGGTGCCACTCTGGCACTTGAACTGCAGTAACCTGCTCGAGTCACGAGTCTGTTATCACTGACTCAGTCTCACCTGATGCTGGTCATTGGACATCACAACGTTTTATTGTTGGAGTTAACCAATAAGAAGAGAAAGAGGGCAAAGGGTTTATTCCAACAGAGTATAGAGAATCATTTTGTGTGGGCTTTTTCACCTGTTAGGTAAGATAACATAGGGATATCATTCATGCAAACTGTACCACTTTCTCATATCTCCAACCCACATGCCAGTTTGTGCATCTGCCATTTTATTCAATACAGTGTAAGATATCAAACTCTAAAACCTATTTCCTTAATTGTGACTTTTTTGTCTGATAAAAAATAGTATAGCAAGAGGTGACATTCCTACTAGTGTACGATTTTGAGCTGCAGAGAAACAGCTTTGAACAGCCTCAACCTGAGTGAACCCTTGTGTCATGTGTTGTATATTCTGTGGGGTCTTTTTGCCTTTTTGAACCTTTTACATGTGATTTCTCACATTGAGATCAGAGATCGTTTTTACAAGAGAGACCTGTCCCATATTAGCAATAGTGTGACACCATCGGGATGCATCATGTTATTTTAGCTTTACATTGTGATGTTCTAATCCTCTTTTTTCAGTTTTAATATATATTATTTCTGTTCTTGTGTAGCTGCCAAAAAAAAACCAGAAAAAAGTGTGTCCTATGGGGCTCAACAAAGGCTTATCTTACCTTTAACACAATTTGACCTTGATACGTTATATAAAGGGCGAAAAAGGGATATAAAATGCAGATATTTGAGTTACCCTTGCAAAGTAAGAATATATAATATAATCAATACTGCATTTAATCCAGAAACTACTCCATTCCTGTATAAATTGTTCTCCATTACATTAGACTGCAAGAAAGAATCTTCAAAATCCTTCACTGACTGGAGAAAAAATGATTGACATGATTTGATGGACTGCAGAGTTAATGTTAATGTGTTGCATGTTGCTGCTGTACATAATGCTGTCTGCATCGATGTTTGTCTGTCTGTTGAGAATACAACCTTGTTTAGATTACACCATTGTACTGTACAGAATGTCTAAGATGTCCCTTGTACTCAGTCACTGTAAATCATCAGATGTGTTTCTGTTTTTCAGGAGCTGGATCAGTACAAGAAGAACGCAGCTAAGTCATGGAAAGGGCTGGAACTGGAGACATGAGACACAATCATGTTCACACACAAACATCACTCGTAGTAATGCAACATTCTTGAATTCTTTATTTATTTGAGTTACTTTTTGCAATTCAAACCACTTGTACATCTTAAAGTATTATAAAGAACTGTATGCTCATGTAAAAATGTGTTTATTTAAAAAATAAACAATTGACATTACTTACTAAAATAGGAATCTCTTGTTTATTACAAATAACAATTTAAATATTTAAACAAAAAGGTAATTCTTTTCAAACACAGGTGACTGTTCAGTGCACAACAGTTATCACATCTTTTATTTTTAAATCAAACTTGCGATTTCCATTTTACATCTTCCACTCTGTGTAGACTTTTATATACAAGTAATTACTTTGACAGTGACACTAGTGCAAATATTAAATCCAAGCAGAAACTTGAATACTTAAGATATTCAGGACCTCAAGATCAATTTGTGCTGCCTGTAACTGTTATTGTCAAATCAGCAGTAAGTTCATTTACACGTTTTTTTTTTACTACAGCTACTAACCTGATGGATTAATGTGCATAACTGAATCCCAGTCAATGGTTTAACACTGCTGTATGCACAACGCCCACCCGGTGGGGTGATTTTTTTAAGGAACTCTCCAACAGCAGCCCTTTGTTCTTGCAGCACTTATTTAAATTATTAAAATAATTCTATGACACTTTCAGGTAAGTGCTGAGACAAAATAATGTTTGAATGTTGAAGATCCTGTCCAGCACAGTCACAGAGATTTAGTATACCTCGTCTGCTCTGAATAACATCATACTGTAAAACTGTACTTTAAATCTTGTTAAGATGTGCAGAACAAAACCCTGGTTTAGTCTCCAGCTTTAAAATGATACCATCTCCCACATGTTTTTCTCAGATTTTTAGTGACGCACGAGCATGTCTCTGATCTTGAAGCTGACCATGCCGAGCAGCAGCAGTGCAGGGAGGAAGGAGTAGAGGAGAACAAAGTCTTGTGTGTATCGGGACAGAGCACCTGGATAGCCTTCATCAATGATCTGATCACCTTTAGTGATGAGACAAACTCCTGGTAAAGGGTTGAGACTATCTGCAAAAACACACCAGATAGAAAGAGTGAACAGTTGTCTGGTTTTACAGACACAGCTTAAGTTTATATAACAGCCTGTACAGTGTGTCCATCCTGCCAAGTGTCCTTGAACACTGAACTCATACCTGAAGTGATCATTAATGAGAGCATCAGCAGAATGATAAATGAATACAAGTCAGGTTGGTAATAAAAGCATATATTGAATCTTTGTCTGTAATTCTGTTCTGTTTTGTCTTCACTGTTTTTGTATTGTTGTTTCTGGGTATTTGTCTTTGTACCTTTCTTTTACTGTATTTAATATTTATTTAATGTCCTGTCGTTCAGCACTTTTTAAAACTTAAAGTACTTTAATTGTCACATCAAAACACTTCGTAGTAATTAAAGTTCTACCACAAATAGCTCTCATGTTAAAAATGTAACAGGGCACACATACAGTTTGTGGGCTGTAAATTCAACTTTTAGACGTGTACATTATTGTAATTATGGGTCCCTTTTCATTCTCAGGTTATGTTAACACACTGAGGATAGTCCAATGGTAAGAACGTCTTACTGCATGTGAAGTTGAGTCCATGGAACTCAGTGACTATAAGGAGCTCACAGCTGTACTTCTGGAAGGTCAGGTAGCTGAGCCACTGAAAGACAACAGGCATCTGCAGGGTGCTCCTGTTCACAGGGAGAGGAGATACAGGTGTGTAATCAGAATCACAGGTCTGGAAAGTTAGCAGTGACTAAAATAATAGCTTTTTTTATTTTTATCAATGAAAGTGATTGCCTCACCTTAGGAAGCCAGATCCAACCAAAATCCCTGCAATATTGAGAAGAGCCACTCCAGTGTTGACCATGTTAGGGTCATGGACCACTCCCATTAGCACCACAGTCAGCATTTCACCTGACATAAATAACAAAAACATACACATTTATAAAACTAAAAGCCACAAAATGTGAGAACATGACATCAAAAGTATCTGTAGAAAGTAGAAGACATTTTTAAAACACTAAATAATACAAAAGAATAGGCCAGCCCCAATTTTGATCTTGATCTGTTGAGTGTGGATACCATTTTGCTTTGGAAAAATAAATATATTTTTTCCCTTAATCTCATCCACTCACCTACAATATGTGGCACCAGGACTACGGCAGTGAAACACAGGAAACGCAAAGTGTCAGGGTGCATCCCTACCGTCCTGAGAGGAACGGATGCAGAACAAAAATTAAAAAGACAAAAAAAAAAAGTATGGAATATGTAATCCATTGGTAGTTGCTTTTCCATTGCCTCAAAATGAAAACATACACTTACTACCCACCAGTAAAGGAAGGAGGAGAAAATGACAACACTGAGGATGCTGAAGGGCAGGATGTGGAAGATGTAAGCCAAGAACATTTGCCATTTAGTGTACAGGCCATCCTGACTCTCCTGATCACTGATGGCTCGCAACGCTGGGACTGAGCGAGAGAAGGAGAGAGCGGATAATGTGGTGAGTGGGAAGGACAAATGTAATACAGAAAGCCCATGAGGGTCTTTAATAAATTCAGCAAATGAATATGTTCGAAATTTAGGGAGAAACACCCCATTTTTTTTGTTTTTAAACACTTCATCTTTAAAACAGGAATAACAATGGGAAATCTTGAATTTGACTACAGATGCATCGTTAAAATTAACACTTATTTTTGCTGAATCCTATCACTTAAACCACTCCAATGAAAACCAAAGCTATCCAGGAGTAAAGCTCAAAACTGGCCTTTTGACATCACTTGAAGTTTCAGAGTTTTAGATCCACTTGACTCTAATCCAGACTCCTCAGTAAACCTGTCTCTTGGAGCAAACTGCTGCTTGCCGTTGTATCCTATCAGTCTTTATCCTTGAGATTCAAGGTCAGTGTGATATCCCCAATCACTACCTCTGGCTGTTTGGATGCTTATAGGTGGCTTTTAATTACCTTTTAACTCTAGTGTGACTCCTGCTCAGCCCAGTGTTCTATCACAGCTCTTATCACCAGTATCTGTGACAGCCTGAGCCCTGAGGCTAAAAGTTTAGATTGAACTGATAGCTGAGGAAGACACTGAAGTGATAATCATCCCATACTGCCAAGTTCCTTCATGTAATTTTCCACAACATCGTATGACACATTACTCATGTAGCACATAAATGCTGTGATAGTTTTACTTGTTGTCATTTTTAAAGAATTTAACCTCAATTTCAACAAGTTACAATCAATACAAAATATATCCCAGAAAACAACTGTAACATCTTAATGTGAATGATAGAAATCCCATAAAAACCAACCTTTAAAATAACCTAGGAGCAGCAGTATAAAATATTATACATTAGGCCTACATTAATAGATGATAACACCCTGATCCTCGTAGTTCATACAAGCAATTAATTATTTCTATGTAAGACACTTAAATAGAGTTTTATTTGCAGTGGTCTCGTAGGGTCAGAGAGCATTTGTTTAACTTTCTCTGTTTTTGTATTTGTCTAACTTAGTGTATATCTTAGGTTATCATACGTTACAGCAGCTGCTATAAATACTGACCATAAACCCGTTTAACACATAGAGACACAAATACATGAACACACTGACAGTACAGATAGTGAAGGTACTGTAGGTCTGCAGGTAAAAGGTCACTTGAGTTCACTGTTAAGTAAAAGTCACAACCACTTGTAGCTCTCTAACAACTGTGCTTATTCAAAGCGAATGTAAAAAAATATATATATCTATGTCATCTTTATGTAATTACTATTGAACACAAAGCTGTTCTAGTCAAATATTTTGTGAATATTGACATTTGTCAACATTTCTGTAATTATAACCTAATACTTCTACTTTGGTTTAAGTCACAACATCCTTACAACAACACATCATCTTTAAATCTGACCTTAGAGAGGAGCTGAGTATTAAAAGTCTATTCAGACACTCTCGTCACGAGAAAACCAGGGCTAGACTTTACACATTTTTGCTAACGGGAACAAAAATACTGCAGACAGCAGACCCCTTTCACCTACTGAACAAGAGATAAGCCAGCTTACACAGCGGAGATAACGCCATTTCAAACATGCTGTTTAACAAAGATAATAAATCACTTTAACTCAGATGATAGACCACACGCACTTCAGAAATTCCCTGAAGTCATTGTGTCCACATCATCTAGATATTTATTGGGTGAGGTTATCAGATCCATGCAGTTGTGTAGAATACTTTGGTTTTCAGGTTATTCTGTCATACAACCGCTTAATGGGGATACTTATTTTATCAGTTAATGCTTTCATGCATTATTATGAATGTGTCACGTTTAAGTCAAATTGTTGGAAATATCAAAAACCTGGTTTAAATGCAGGATTTCCTTCTGTGTGCAGATCTATGCATGGTGATGGTAAAACTCACACAGAGCTACAGCGTTCAGCATGCCAGTGTAGGGCGAAGCTCCAACGCTCTGATAGATGATGCCAATGCGGTCCTGCACAGCACCCTTGCTGACGTCTTCATCTAAACGTGTCACGAAGAAGGCCACAAAGAGGCCGTAGATTAAGTTCTGGGACAGACGCATCAGAACACCCATCCTGTCTCTGGACAGGTTTCTTGCTGTTCGCCTACACACAAAGCACAAATGGAAATACATGTAAGCAAACACATAGGCGTACGGAACCTAAAGTACGTAGCCCATTAATAAATCAACACAAGAAAGACTGTCAAGAAAAGATGAGTGATTTTTCTTAAATACAAGTAGGATCATTTTGTAGATTGTAGGAGACTACAACGCTTATGAGAATACATGTATGATATTAGGAGTCAGTTATCGTAAAAGATCATTTCTACACAATGGGACTTCAGTCTGGCCCCCACTGACCTTAGCAGAACTTCCAGTTTGGCTGCACCACTGGGTGACTCTTTGCTCTTAAAGGGGATGGCTGGCTTGTCCACCACTTGCAGGCTTTGCTCCATTTTTTTCAGCATGCCCTGGTAGATGTCAGATTTCTGATACGATGAAGTGATCTCATGCATGCGATTGAAGGTGGCTGCCTCCCTTTCACTGTTGCGTGTGTCCACTGAGGTGAAGTCAACTGTTCAAACATCACGGCAGTTTGATTATACCTCAATTATCACATGCATATACTTCTCGATACACTCTTTTATTAAGCACAAAATGACAGCTGCAGTAGCCTACCATAGATGTCAAAGGGGTTGCAGTACTCTGGACACTCATATCCACAATGGCTGAAGAAATCAACCATCTCTTCTGGCTGCCCACAGAACACCAGCTCTCCACGACTCATTATGGCTATCCTGCTAAACACCTGAGACACACACACACGCACACCAGCTAATAGTTCAACGAAAACACATTATCCTCGGCAGTTCATTCAAAATGTTGATCTAGCGTTTCAAGTCTGATTGCAGCACTCACATGCCCTCTACAACTCTATATACACACTGAGTTATCTCTGATTTTCTCTCCTGCCCATAATTACATAGAAAAAGCAATCTGAATTCCAAAATGTAAGTGCCAATCTTCCTGTGCTTTCAGTGAAAAATGCCTATATTTCCTCAAACTTTTCTCTGCAGCTCTGCAGGGAAACATTGCCCGTGCAAACAAAGAGCAGATAACCTCTTGATTTGACCTACTAATTCTGCTGAAACCTCATATAAGCACTATGTCAGAAAATGTATCCCTTTAATAACAATTGCATCTTAAAGGGATATCCTCTTGATCAGTATGCATGGGAGACACAATACACATGTGCATGTGGGAATTGTTTTGAGATAAACATTAAACTTTTCTTCAAATAAAGTTTTTCTTCACCCTTTTTTATTTTTCTTATAGTTTAGGTAAACCTACCCTGAAGAGTTCAGAGCGTGGTTGGTGGATGGTTACTATGACGATACGATTCCTCCTAGCCAGCTCTGCCAGCAGGACCACGATCTGATTGGCGGTCATGCTGTCCAGGCCGGTGGTCGGCTCGTCCAATAGGATCACCCCTGCAATGACATCATTACCGTCATGGAGGATTGTCACATGTCAAAACATTTGGAACAAAAGAAAGGTAGGACGAGAACTTTTTTCTCCTTTTGAGTTAAAAACTTTTAGACATACTTTCCAGAAAGTGGCACATGCAGGACTCTCAGCGGGGCCAACTTAACTTGTGAAGATAAGTGAGTTCTTTTTTTTTTAACTTAATTACTCTAATTAGGACAATTAAAAGATTGCCTCTTTGCATTATGAAAGCAGAGTGGAATTAGCAGATGGTTTAATTGTGAGATTAATTCATTTCCTGGTTGATTGGAGAGGCAGTGAATAGGAACTCCTCATTACTCTGTGTGAGACTGTGTGTGTGTGTGTGTGTGTGTGTGTGTGTGTGTGTGTGTGTGTGTGTGTGTGTGTGTCCATGGCCCCTTCTAATCCTGAATGAGGACTGAGACCCTTCATCCTCCCTGGGGGACATTAGACCCGATAAACCACACCTGGGACGAGCACAGGCCCACTCTCTCGCTCTCTCTCTCTCTCACACACACACACACACACACACACACACACACACACACACACACACACACACACACACACACACACACACACACACACACACACACACACACAGATGCAGGTCTCTATTCATTCCCTCTCTGGTGTGATAACCCAGACTTCCATTACTCTCCTCCATCCCTCCCTCCCACTGTCCTTCTCTCTCTCCTCTCTCACTTAGATCCTTTTGTTTTCAAGTGTGGACTTCGAAAACTCTTTGGGGAGAACTTTGACGAACTATCTCCTGTTCTTGGGATGGCACAGTCCTTTATTTATGTTTGATATGCAATCATTTATTAAACAAGGGGACATCTTTCTGATATCCCAACCTCCTTTATATGATCTGTATCCCATATATCCGAAAACTCAAATGAACCACCTCTAATGCTTCACTTTTTCTGCTCCATAATTTATTATCTCAGTTAAGATTTTAGCTGATAATGGCTTTTCATCCGGATTAACCTCATCAGCATGATTTAGGTTTGCAGCCTCCAGAAGTCTGATCTTTTTGATACACAGATAAATGTTTCTCTGCTGCAGAGGAACTTACTCGGGTCCTGAAGTAGCTGGCTGGCGATGGAAACTCTCCTCCTCTCACCCCCAGAGATCCCTGGGAAAACTCGTCCTCCGATGACACTGTGGGCCACATGGCTCAGACTCAGCTCAGCCATCACCGCTGACACCTGCACAGGAGCCAGAAGTCAAGGGTCAGGTGGCAAGAGAATTATTACAGTTCGCAAGTCAACTGACAATGGCTTCCTCCAGACTAGGCACTTTCTTAGTTTGATTAGTTGAACATGATAAGTAGCAGGAATGTTTTCAGACTTTTCAGACATTTCTGCTTCTTTAAATGTTTCTTAGTTTACATTTGCATTGGATCAAAAGACGACAAGACACCATCCCAATAGAAGAAAAAGCATTTCTTACATTTGATCAGTTTTTGGTTTATAAATTATGAAGATAGACAAATGATGTGTCAAGTGTCCTGAAAGCTGCTTGGGAGTTTTAAAATTTTGACCCTTTTTTGAAAAACACAAAAAATTTATAATTTGTGAACAACTCAATGAGTTGTTAGATATTAACTTGTGCAATATAATTATCTTGTTCTCACAAGTTATTATGTTGTTATCTAACTTGTGTGCGCAAGATTTTTTTTAACATTAGGGGCTCTGTACTAATGTGCTGACATCCCTTGTGATTCTTCATTTGTCCCCTCTTTAGTCTTTTCTTTAGCTGGGAGAAAATGTCAAGTTCCCGCCTGAGAAAACGAACAGAGAGAGCGGACTGGGCAGAAGAGGCTCTATCAAAAGTCACCTTCTTCTTGATGGCTTTGGCTGAGTGTTTCCGCAGGGCCAGCTGAGCTGTGTAGGTCAGAGTCTCCTCCACTGTCAGATAACTCAACAAGTTATCACTCTGGAAGAGACAAAGATGGGAGAAGGAAAAAATACTAAAGAAGAAACAAGCCAAGAAAAGGGCAAATATCGTGTGGATCTTTTATTGTAAGTGTACTTATCGTACTTATTGTTAAAGCATTGAAGATAATCGACTTTGTAAGGCCTTTTCAGTACATTCTGCTCCTCAAGAATTAAATATGATCACATCCTAATATTTCTGGATTATCATTGATCAAGTTACTGTTCATACGTAACGGTGTGAAGGACAGGAGATGTGAGCTACACACTCTTAAGCAGAAAGATTTATCTACATTACTTTAGCTTGAAATCCTTGCACATTAGACATGCATCAGTATCAGACACCAATACCACAATACGCTGCATATGTATGTGCAAACTAACTGTAACATATTTTTGCCTCACAAAATTTCAGTCACACACATGTGCACACAAACACAAATTCATTGCTTGAACCTGCTGAACCTGCTGCCTGCTTCAATTAACACGTTGGGCCTCCCAATCCCACTTCTCCTCAGTCTCTCATCTGAATGACTTTAATATCAGGAGCTCATATCACCTCCTCATCTCCAGCTTAGCAGGGGAAGTTAATGACGAGGCTTAGAGAGCAGAGGGGGTTGCTATCAGCTAGAATAGAGAGATGATTTGAAAAGGAAGCAAGGCCGGTTTTAAGCCAGTGTTTTTAATTCAGGCTTTGGATACACTTGAGCACCTCTCATTGAGAGATTAAGTATATGAGGAGGCCAGCAAGGGTCTTTAGTTAATTTCATCCAGAGGCCAGGGCACCCTTTTCAAGAGTTTCTTAAAAGTGGTGTGTTCATTGACTTTGCGGTTTGGTATTACTGGTGGGTGTACCACAGGCAACTTCAATACATACAAACACATGCATCTAATACTGTGGGACAAAGGTAAACTTGATGTCAGTGTGTGATGAGAACTAGGGCAAAGGGAAAGGTGCATGTGTGTGCATGAGGTATATCATGCAACACAATGGGGCCCAGTTTTAAACAGATTGCATTTCATTGCTGATGTCACGTTAAAACAAATGTCTTTGTTACCTGCAGCACATAGGAGAAGCAGTCCTGATACTCTTCTCTCTTCATCTTCCTGCCGTTAATGAAGACCTCACCCAACAATGTGCCAACATTTCCAATCCTCCCTGAGACGGCATCCAACAACGTGGTCTTACCTGAGCCTTTTCAATGCAAAGTAACACAGCAAAACATATGTAAATACATTAAAATAAAGAAAAATACAATGATTTATCTGTTCATAAACTTTAGAAGAATTTAGAGTCACAATCCTCAAAGTGACACAAAACTTAGCCAGCTGAACAAATAACTTTTTTTTTTCATATTGTATACTCTCAAAAAATCAGACTCGTTTTAACATAACTGAAACTTAAATTGATTTTAAACACTTTGCTGTTTAAAACCTGCCAACCTGAATTTCCCAGTATGCCCATGATCTGCCCACTGTCTACATGGAAGGAGACATTATTCAGGATCTGACGAGTCCAGTGCTTCCTGTAGGAGGGTAAGTCCCACCATGGACCCACCCGCTCACTGAAACACAAACAAACACACATGCACCCTTACATATTTTGATATATATATATTTTCATATTACCAGAGTAGATTCCCTCCTCTCTGTAAGAGTGATCGTTTTTTGATATAAGTGAAAATATTTTATTTAAAAATAAAAGTTTGATTTGACCTAATAAAGACAATAGTTGCAAGTTCCTGGGTGTTCTATGTTTGTTTTCCTTCTGTTTCATTGCAAATAGTAGTTCAACCACATAGAATTACATATAATTTGACCTAAAACTATATATATTTACACAGAATAACAGAACGTATATGTTGTTTTAATATCCTTTATTTAATTCTCAGAGTTTGTTTTTTACTTCTCTTTCAGTCATTCTCTTGTGCACTCTGTCTGTGTCCGCAGTATTTACTGTACCTGACCGTGTAGGAGACTTTGCTGACACTGAGACTGCAGGAAGGCTCTGATCGCTCCTCTCTAACGTCCTTGGAAACATCCCTCTTCTCCTCCGGCACAAACTTGAAGGACTCCCTCTCTTTGGTCCCGTTTGGCTCCGCTGTCTGCATGGAATATAATCTGTTCCTATCCCCAGCCATTTTTTATCCTCAAAACAACAACTGTATTAAGTCCGTCTCAAATCATTTCCACTCGACTCATAAACAACAAGTAAAACTCTGCAGTTCAGTCATCTAGCATGCCTAGACTTTGTTTCTCTGTGTACATTCCCTGTACGGAGCAGCAGTGCGAGAGCAGCTTGGAACCATAAACACACAGTGTTATGTTATCTCAGAGAACTTTGATCTGGAGCTGTATAAAGAAGACCAACAAAGTAAAAAAAAAAAAACACACGCTGAATACACTGACAGACGGTCCCTTCAGTCCTCAGATTAAACGCTGTGACCAGAAAAGCAATGACTGACAGGGCAGAGCAGGAGAGAAGAACTGACATGACATGAACCTGGATGCCTTGAGAGGGAAGGCTTGTGAAGTACAAGAGATCTTCAGCAGGACTGAAGTCAAACTATCTTACAGACAGAGGAAAGAGAGACCAGGGGTACAATAGGAGATCTAAAAGGACAGACATCCTTAGGCTGAAGAACAGAAGAACCAAAAAGAAGAATAGAAAAGGGAGCGTAGACCTCTTGACCCCAGCAACTTGCATCACCATGGACAAAGAAACTGGCTTTAACCATACAAACGGCTCCTCACAGGTAAACATCAGGACAAAAGCGTGTCCTTATTATCTCAGCGTTCTCCTACTAACATACTGTTGTAGCATTGTTTAACCAAACTACAGGTAGATTTTGTTGATTCATCTTATCCCCACCTACCAATGTTTGCTGCTCTTTTTGATATCTGTAAAACATTTGATTTTATTAATGGAGATTTGTATGCATGAATAATGCATTACTCCATAGTAGCCCAATTTATTATAAAAAGTCTGATTTTTGTGAATTTTTCAGCCATAAGAAAAACCATCTATTACTTTTTTTGTTTAAAACATATTTTGGACAGTTGCTATGTCATTTTTTGACAATGAAACAAATGGCCTTTAAATGTTCTTCCTTCCAGTTTTAGTTACAACAGCTTTCAATGAGGTTTACAACAGCTGCATGAATAATGAAACAATTGTTTTAAAACAACATATATCTTAAAGGACAATCTGTGGATTCATTTGATAAAGAAAAGCTACTGGGGATGGCCTGAAAATGTAAGGTTCATATCACTTAGACATAGAATCACATACAGTCTAATGTTCAGTGTGTTCAGAAGATCTATCAGCATGTGTTGCACCTGGTATTACTCATTTCGCAGAGATTTAGGGATTATATAACAGTAAGGTAAGTGTCATTTTCCACAGATTCTGGACACACAAATGCTCCGGGGGCAACTATCTGAACTTGAAAAAAAAAAAAAGACGCAGGGGCATGTGAATACACGCATGGACTCGTGTTCTTACAGCTGACACGTGCTCACAAAATTCTGCATGCTCTTGGTGATCATTTAATAAATTACTCATTCAAATTGTCCAATAAACTAGTTGATCAAGTTTGAATGTGAGATGATCAGATACCACAGCAGTTAAAAGATAAACAAACTGATCTCAACTTATAAAATAATATTTATTATACATTTTGGCCACAAACTCAAATTTCATACTTCAGTGAAGTTCCATACAGATTTACAATCTTTTGACATTTGTGCTGCTGTTATTGGCTTTTTGCAATCTTAAATAAAATGTGCAGTTTTCCAAGCAGTTTAGGTACAGGTGCACCAACTTGTTCCTTCATAGATTCTCTTGTTAATCTTTTAAATCTTTAGTTCTATAAAAATAGTTTTATCTCTGTTACATTCTCAGATTCAGTTTGTCCTTGATGACTGATATGAATGCAGATGAAATAACCTTGCCTCTATAAAGCTCATTGACACGGCTCCTCTTCTTTAACAGCATCAGGACACCGAGCTGTTCTCGTCTGAAGAAGATAGCAGTCTCTACTTCACCTACAGTGGAGGGTGCAATGAGCTGGAGGTCAACGACCTGCACTATGAGGTAACTGATGAACTGACGTTCACAAACACAGTCATTGTTTGATTGTTTTTTTTTTTTCTGCATTTCCTGTCTATACAGATTTTGTGCATCATGGATGTGCTGATTTACATTTGCAATTTTTTGGTTGTGCGTTTGTTTCACACAGGTAGACACAGCAGCACAGATCCCCTGGTATGAGAGGTTGTCAGAGTTCAAGTTGCCATGGGAGATAAAAGGAAACAAGCAGACAGCCATCAACAAGCTCAGCCTACGTGTTCGCAGCGGGCAGATGCTGGCTGTCATTGGCAGCTCAGGTGAAACACACAAATTTTAGCTCTTTTTATCAAGAAAACATATACAATGGCCTCCCTGATCTCATCTACATGGCATGTCAGATTATTTGGTTACATAGATATTCAAAATTCTGGTTCTAACTACAAATGTTGTCTTTATTTATTTTTTTAAAAACAAGGTGGAGAAACTAGTCAAAATGTCATACATTTAGTGACCAATCAATGACTCCTAAATAATGAGAAGAATCAGAGCTTAATTCAAAAGATCTTGGTGTAGGTCTTGACTTGTATAGTACATTTTGTTGCTTATGATTAATTTTTTTCTCCTCTCAGGTTGTGGTAAAACATCTCTGCTGGACATAATAACATGCCGTGATGAGGGTGGCACAATGACGTCGGGTCAGGTTCTGATCAATGGGAAACCCAACACACCCCAACTGGTGAAGAAGAGCATTGCTCATGTCCGCCAAGACGACCGCCTTCTCCCTCATCTCACCGTCCGGGAAACTCTCGCTTTTGTTGCAAAACTGAGGCTCCCAACACACTACACACAATCTCAGAGGGACCAGAGGGTAAGGTTAAGCCTTACTCTATCAGGGTAACAAATGTAACTATCCCACTGGTAGTAAAATGCTTATTGAATTGTGTTTGAACAATCAAAAAACATTTGGATGTTTCCAATTCCTTCTATTGGGAAAATAGGCTTCCCAGAGTTAATTTCATCTTTAAATGTAGTAAGAATACTTACTGCATGATCAACTGTTGTGTGTGTTGTGAGAAACAGATCTGTGATTAACTCTGTCTGACTGTGACTGCGTCTGTCACAGGTAGATGATGTCATCGCAGAGCTGCGTCTGCGACAGTGTGCTAACACCAGGGTGGGAAACGACTATGTGAGGGGAGTTTCTGGAGGAGAGAGGAGGAGAGTCAGTATAGCTGTCCAACTTCTCTGGAACCCAGGTGAGAGAAAAAAAGAGACAACTCGTTTTGATCCCTCCTGACTTTGAACTTTCCATCTGTGTGGCTTAAAAAAAAAAAAAGAAGATACATCTCATTGACTGGCTTGAATTTTGAACATAAACACAGTTATAATCTTCTAATTTTTATACATGTCTCACTAATTACAGGAGGAAAAGAAATGGCAGCATTGATGACCTAATTATAATTGATGAAGTAATTATAATTTAAAAAGAAAGTAATGGCTATGTTTGAGGTTTTCAATTTAACATCCAAAACATGTTAGATAACATTGTCACCACAACCCCCTAACCTTCAGTGACGCAACAAAAAAAAAGGTGAAAGGAGACGTTGAAAACAGCAGAGTTTTCATTTTCACATTTACTGAACTAGTGTTTTTCCTTATCAGGGATTTTAATCCTGGACGAGCCGACTTCAGGTTGGACAGCTTCACCGCCCACAACCTAGTGATCACACTGTCCCGCCTGGCCCGAGGAAACCGCCTGGTTTTGCTGTCAGTCCATCAGCCTCGCTCAGATATCTTTCAGCTCTTCGACCTCGTCGTTCTGTTGTCGTCTGGTTCAGCTGTTTACTGTGGCCCTGCGCGGGACATGGTACCTTACTTCACTGCACTGGGATACCCCTGCTCACGATACTGCAACCCTTCTGACTTCTATGGTTAGTGTGTGTGTAGAAAGTCAAACCCTCTGTAGAGCATCTTTAAATGTTCAGCTCTGCATCTGTCCTACATATGATAACAAGCTAAAAACTATTGAAACAACCATGGTGTGACCTATTCTTCATTTTCTACGTTTTAAGACTCATTTTGTAACTGCTATTTGTTTGTGTGTCTGTGTTTGTAGTTGATCTGATCAGTATAGACCGGCGCAGTCCGGAGCGAGAAGCAGAGTGTTTGGACCGGGCCAATGTTCTGGCTCTGCAGTTCATGGAAAAGGTTCAAGACACAGAAGATCACATGTGGAAACCAGCTGGACCGAACACAGCAGAGACACAACCTGAAAGGTAGCAGTGTGTGTGGTTAGGTTTTTTCATTCTCCTTTTTAACAGTTTATATATTCATATATCAGATATGTACTATATATATTTTCTTAGTTTTTCCCTAAAGAGATCTATGTAAGGAACTTCAGCATAGAATGACTATCCTCTGAGCAGCTGTAGAGTTTGTTGGGAACGGCTCTTAGTTTTATTGTTGGATGTGTAAGAGGATACAAAATTTAGGAGATGCTTCCTATAATGTTTACAATAATTGGGGGAGTGGTTACAATGTGCTAATCCAGGAAATTTGATGCTCTTCCCCTGCCCGCAGCCCTCAGCAGCTGAGCAAGGCAAAAGAAGAAGTAATCACTATTTCAGAGAACGCAAACAGACTGCCTGGTCGTATAAACCAATTCACGATCCTCATCAGGTAAAAACATCACACAGGGGCTGTATTAAAGCACTCTAAAGGCACAAATAAAGACTAACCTCCCCTCCTTTGTTTTCCCTCAGGCGTCACATGTACAATGACTACAGAGACCTGGTCACCTTATTGGTTCACGGCTTCGAGGCCCTCCTCATGTCACTGCTGGTCGGTTGTCTGTACTATGGAGCAGGAGATGATCGTCTGTCCATTCAGGACACAGTGGCTCTCCTCTATATGATCGGAGCTCTCACCCCATTCGCTGTGGTGCTGGACGTCATAGCTAAATGTGAGAAGATGATATGGAGTTTCCCTTTATGTGTAACTTCATACTGATAGAAGGGTCTAAAGTTTTGCACCACTGCAGATTCAGTTTTCTCTTCGTTTAGAATAAGATTCACAATAATGTAAGAACAAGACCCTCGGCTTAAGACTTCACTCAAGTGTCTGCACCTGTGTGAGATTTCCAAATATCTTTTTTTTTTAAATGTTTATCAAAATATTTTGAAATTTCACATGTATTGAACATTAAATTAGCATATTAGCATACTTCTGTATATTATATAAAGACCGACTCAAAAATACAAATGAAAATGATCATAACATCTATTTCCATAAAATAATGTTTAAAAATATTTTAAAGTTAGAAAAGTCACTTTAAGCTGACACCAATGTTTGGTAGTTGGAAGAATATAATTTCTTTAAAAACTAATTCCTTTTCTTTAAGAAATAAAGACTACATATAAACAAATGATGAAGAGGAGATTAGTTAAACCCCAAAACACACGAAACCGACCAGAGCTTTAGAATTTGAAATCAAAACAAGATAGTTCTGCTTGGGGCGCAGATGACCTCGTGGTTAGGTCATGTCCCATGTGCAGAGGCTATCGTCCTTCAAGAATGTCATTCCCCACTCCCTCTTCCCTGGCTCTCTTTGCACTGTCCTATCCAGTACAGACAGCATGCCCAATATCAATCTACAAAAGAGGAGACACTTGTGCCCTCCCAGCTAATGAAGCTAATGAGCTACTTAAGTGCATAAATGTTGTGCAATTCTTTTAAAGCAAATCTTTAGGTGGATGGTTAGTTCCTGTATTAAACAAAAGACTGCATATGCAAACACAGTATTTCAAAGCAAAACTGACAATTACAAGCTGACGTAGAACTGGACACGGAGTTCAACAAAATATAGAGGCAACATAAAATCTACAAAATAAATAAATAGATGAATAATAAAAGATAGAACCCTGAAGAGATAAAGCATTGCTTCTTTTTGTTTTTACAGTTTTATAACAGTGTGTCCTCAGTTATTCATGATCAATACACTCCTCTTTTGCTAAATCACTCAGTGTATAACAGTGTAAGATGAAGCTAAAGTTATCAAAGAGTGATCAGATATTTCAATGATAGATTTCAACAGTTTGTCCCTTCACACTGACTTATAATAAGTCACAACTGTCTGACACACAAGAGACAAATTCATGTCAGGTCAAGGCCGACAAAGTTATGACTTTATTCAAAATTCACTTATGACTTTCGGTAACATATTGTGCTTACAGCCTGCATATAACACAGGACAAATCCACATAAACACTTTTTTTTACTCAATTCCACACAATTTGACAATTTTATGAAGCATAAATGTCTAAACAACTTGAGATTGTTTTTGCTCTGCTGTGATTCAGTGTACAACAGTGTAAAACCAGAAAGTTTGAATCTGTGAGGTAGCTTCTTACCAGAGTATTAAAAGTCTTTTTGTTCTCTGCAGGTCACACAGAGAGAGCGATGCTGTACCACGAGCTGGAGGACGGCATGTACTCAGTCACTTCTTACTTCTTTGCCAAGGTAAGCCACAGTCACAAAACATTTCTCCAGCAGATGGCAGTCTCACTCCATACTAAACATACATCTTAGTGTAAAGTACAGTGCAAAAACATTACAGTACAAAATACTGTAATGGGATGTTGGAAATATATTGAACAAACTGCAAGAGATTGTTTGTGTAGGTTTTCTGATGTTTTTCCGTTAAAATGTATACTTTGTTTATATTCAGGTCCTGGGGGAGTTACCAGAGCACTGTGTGTTCACCTTGGTGTACGGCCTGCCCATCTATTGGCTGGCCGGGCTCAACGAGGCTCCAGAGCGTTTCCTGCTAAACTTCCTCCTGGTGTGGCTGATGGTTTACTGCAGCCGCTCCATGGCGCTGTTTGTAGCTGCCTCACTGCCCACCTGCAGACATCGGCCTTCATGGGAAACTCCTTGTTCACAGTCTTCTATTTGACTGGAGGGTTTGTCATCAGCCTGGAGAACATGTGGCTCGGTAAAGAGAAAGAGTTCTAGAATTTGTGTGTGTTTTAAAGAAAGAAGCCAGTCAGTGTGTGATGTTTATGTCTGCACTTGTTTGCCTCCCCAGTGGCCTCATGGCTCTCTCACATCTCCTTCATGCGTTGGGGTTTTGAGGGCATGCTGCAGGTGCAGTTCAGAGGCAACAAGTACCCCATCACTATCGCAAATATCACCTTCAATGTCGACGGGATACATGTGAGTTAGAAACACAGACCACACAAAATCGGTAAATCTGTCTTGTTGTGCATTTTTCAGGTGCATAGAATAAGTGTCTGTTTCATTCTTCAGTTGAAATGTTAAACATTTTGAGCAGTCATTTTTTATTTTTTTATAATAGGTGACTATTTCACGTAAATTAACACTAATTTAAAAAAGCAAAGAAAAATGGATTGAAAGATGAACATCTTTTGTATTGTGTATCCTCCTTTGTTTGTCTGTCAGGTGATCGAGGCCATGGACATGAACCAGTATCCTCTGTACTCGTGCTATCTGGTCCTGCTGGCAGTCTGTCTGTGCTTCATGGGGCTTTATTACTTATCCCTAAGATTCATCAAACAGAAGTCCAGTCAGGACTGGTGAACTGTCTCCACCATCAGCGGCACAGCTCTACTTTGTGTTTTATTTTGTGGCTGCTGAAGGAATTCATTTGGGTTCTAGCTCGACTGGTTCGACAATGAGCCATGCTTTTCATTTTGATTTAACTGTTCCAATGAGGATGTCTAAGTGAAAATTAAGAATATATGTTTTGAATTTTACTTTTTATTTTAAATAATACTGTCAACATCAGAAAATCCTGCACTCTTTCTAACATTAGAATTAATATACCCTGGTACCTCAGTAAGGTGTAAAAAGTTCTTGATGAATGCAGCATTTTTTAAAGGTTCACTTCTGAAAATAAGAATTTGAGTAAGAAGCACTTGTTGCAGTACTGCTGTCTGCTGCTGGGTGGCAGCAGAGTACTGCAGTATTCACAATGTTGAAAACATGATCGCATTCTTCTCTCTATGCTTCTTCTTGGCAAATGATTAGAGCGCCACTTTGGCAGATATCCATCTGAGGCTTTTGCTTGTTCCCTTTTTCAATCTTCTCTTTTTTTCTACAGCTTTATCTCTTTTGTATATGTAAGGTTATTAAGCTTAACAATGTGTGTGCCAGTATAGAAAGCACTGAAAAAAAGAACCTTGTACAGATGTAGTAAGTCACACTCAGAAAAAAGAGCTTGTACTTGTGTCCTCATAGATTGAAGATTATGTAAGCTTTGGTTTTTTGCAAAAGCCTTAAATGTTTTACTGACATGGTTTGAGTCCAAATTAGTAAAGTATTAAATCAAATAGCTCCTCTTGAGCATGTTATTTTTGTCCTCATACTGTCTGCTAGCCTTGTGGCCTTGGCTTCATGTTGTAGTCACTCACACTTTGGTAACACTGAATGTTATTGATATTTTATTATAAACAGTGTTTTTCCTTTACATTCTCATTTTCATTTCCCAGAAAAGGCCTTCATGCTGTTCTCTCTGGGATTTAGTGGCTGTACATTTATTTTACACCACGTTAATAAACTTTCCATCCATCAGGGGATCACAGCCCCGACTGTGGAAAGAAAGAAGATGAAAGAAGTATGAAAGAAGAAATTCAAAAATGAAAGAAATTACAACAAACTATTGATGTAAAGTATCTTAATATCCTTTAGTGCTCCAATAGATACCCCGTTATGACTACAAATCTGTTTAACACATTAGAGAACAAAATCACAACTTCAGGTGTGGCAGAGTTTGGACTCCTCACATCGTTTATTAGCATAAATACTTCTGTACATTCCCAACATCATTCTCATCATTAACATTATCAGTGGAGCAGAAAACAGACTCAAACATCTTACAGCTATGACACTATACCCAACGTTCTAGCTCAAACAACTTAAAAAAAAAAAAAGGACAGAAGGAAGGAAGGAAACACGGTCTTGGACTGAGGTAAGAGGAGACGAGGATTCTTCTTTATTTCTCTGCGGTCACATCGGCCTTGGCAGCGGTGTCTTTCAGCTTGGCTGCATAAAACTTAAAGGTCTCCTGGAAAGAGAAACAAAGACAATTTAGAATCAAACATCAGACAAATAGCATGAGCGAGGCTGTAAAGTGCCTGTGTGTTTGAGTGTGTGCGTTTGTGTCTCGCCTCTTTCCAAAACTAAGCAGCTGTGGAGCCCCCCTGGGTCTGTCTAAATAGTCTCCACTCTCCAGCCAGGTTGTCTCGTTTCATCTTTAAATCCCCATTAATACACAAATAATGGATTTGTAGTTCACTCCCCAAACACACCTTCCTCTCTCTGCTTCTGTTCTGGTTAATTAATCAGTGTTTTGATCCCGACAAAGTGTTGGGCTGGGTGTTTTTATTTTATAGAGGGGAGAAGGTGGGAGCTTTACTGCAGATTAAGGCAGCTTCTTACAATGTATGTTTGCTTTTTAATGTAGTAATTAACGCAGATAAAGAGCTGTGTTAACTAGAAGTGTGGACAGAGAGATCTTGGCAGGGGTTTCAAACACTTTTTAAAGGGGTCGCTTTACCCTCATTACAAAAAGAAATCAGGAGGGAAAACATGTTTTTGTAAAGGTCTTGAGATATCTGTAGGAGATTTTTTCTTTCATACCGTAGAAGTGAACTTCATTTGTCTTTAGAGCATTTAGAAATTCAGTTTGTAAAATGATTTGTAACGTTACTTTCCAGAAACAGCCTCCCTCCACAGCTTTCATTTTACGCTGCCTTCTACCGAAAGGATCTGCGCATCATCCTCGTAGTTAGGTCATTACAAACACAAACACTCTTATATAAATGTCAAAGCTTTGCCTGTACATTCAATAAATGCCCCGGCATTGCTTTATAAAACTGCCTGTTCTGCTCCACTTGTGTGTGCAAGTTTCAGCCACTAAAACGCTTCTAAAAACTGTGGAAATATTGCATCCCACTGTTACAAAAAGAGACGAGGAGCGTTCCTTTGACACAAAATGTGTTCCCATTTAAAGTAATTGACCTGAAACATATATATCACTCACAGGGAACTATTCATCAAAAATGAAACATTCTGTCTTATCATCAAACAAAATCTCCGTAACAAGATAAAAAAAGAAAAGAAAAACCTCAAAGAGTGGAGCGTTACTTGGTGCTGTTTGAAATACTGAGATAATTAAACTATATTCAGCAAGTGTCAGTATTTGTTTAAGAAGACATAAATAGGAACGCTTAAAAAACTTCTATAAGTTCATTTTTGATTGTTTAAATAATAGTAGGCCACCACGAGGACATGGCAGTTATGGTGATTTATACAAACATACATATATATATATATATATATACTGTATATGGTGTGTGGATCTTCTTGCCTCTTTATGCCTGTTCGTTTTGGATCCAGCACCCATTAAGGGATGTGCGTGTCTTCTTTTATTTGTATCCATCATGATGCTCTCATTTGGACATATCAATGTTTTGTTCTGTTATCAAAAACTGCTTGTTCATTAGGAGTTAAAACAAATACATCTCAACAATTAGACTAGATCTGAGGTTCAGTGTCAGGCATGATGATGTCTTCCTCTGACCTCTAAGACAGCTTTTGAAATGTTCCGTTTCAAACATCTGAATCCTCGTCAGCCATAATAAACTTTATATTCAAAATAAATCTCAATAATAAATAGCTTAGTAGCATTAGTCTTTAAATCATAAAGCCTATTCTATTGAAATATTGAACCTTGACTCAGCTGAGGCAAACTAGAACCATGAAAAGGTCTGGACTACTTGCAAATGTTATGTGTACCTGCCTGGTTTGAAAAATAATTGGTTTATACAATTGGTTTATGCTACTTACAAGCAAATCTGTTACATTTGTGCGGCTCAACACAGCTGAGAAACGTTCTTACCAGTGAAGACTGTATATACTAGAAGGAGAGGAGTGAGAGCAAGGAGGGAGGGAGGGAGGGAGGGAGGTGGACTTATTTGAAGAAACTTCTGAATAGCCAGACTTTATTCACCTTTCCCTCTCCTTGTACCTCTTCTGGCTCTGCTTTGCTTATAAAACCAACCATCACTTAACTATCCTGACACTCAGTGAATAATGCAGCAGCTTCTCCACCTTCATCCCTCTTTCTCGTTCTATCTTTGCACTGCAGGTGAGTGATGGAGAGGCAATAGGTGGGCCCCTGTCTACACCTGCCTCGAGGGGACAGCACACCAAAGTGCTGGGGCTGAGAGGGCCATGTGTGTCTATATATGTGTGTGTGTGTGTGTGTGTTTGTACGAGTGTGTGTGCGTCGTCCTCTGCCAAAAATAGGGCTACATCAACTTACAAAATGTGCAATGTGCAGAAACGCTCAAAAACACTAGGAGCGAGGAAAAGAGAGCGGCTATTGCAGTGACACCATCTCGCTTACACAATCTTTATGCTCAGTGACTGTGGGCCAGATTCTGACACACAAACACACACACTGTTACAAACACAGGAAGCTGGCTGAAGGCATGTTGTATATTGAAGTACACTGAGCATGCAGACTGCTCTGTCACATTACTAAAGCACACACAGACCACAGCACACATTAGGACACCAGCCGGATGAATGCCACTACTCGTTAGGGTGCTGCTGTGTGTGTGTGTGTGTGTGTGTGTGTGTGTGTGTGTGTGTGTGTGTGTGTGTGTGTGTGTGTGTGTGTGTGTGTGTGTGTGTGTGTGCTTCTGTTTGTACACAGCTCTAGTTAGAATATTTCAGCGCTGGGGTGTAAATATGGAAATTACGTGTGTTAATATTAACAATATAAGGGTTTAATTCATAGGTAGTATTAATCAGAATGGGAACTTTAAATCATTTCTAAGGTAAAAACTTGTTTTTATTAACGTTCACGCGTTATTAATGTGAATGTGTTAACTTTCGTACTACTGTAAAATAGCAAACTATTACATGTCTATGGATATTAGACTGTTTGTAAAGCATTACAGATTTTTTCAGAAGTGTGTGAGTTAGCTTTGAAGCGGTTTGAAAACTTAAATCTTCCACAGTAAATTAAACATCTCTGTCTAACCTCCTTTAACACAGGAACCAATCACAACTTAGTGATTGTGTAGAGCAGCTTTTGTCACGTGTGTGTGTGTGTGTGTGTGTGTGTGTGTGTGTGTGTGTGTGTGTGTGTGTGTGTGTGTGTGTGTGTGTGTGTGTGTGTGTGTTAGACACTCACAGGGGGTTCAGAGAAGGGCACCGTCTCTCCATTCCTGCGGTAAAGCCCAGCCAGCCGTTTGAGTGACAGCTCATCTAGGACCACCCCTTCCTTCTGAATCTGCTCGTACAGAGTCTTGGCTGCCTGTAAGTCCTTATCCAGAGCTGCCAGACGAGAGGGGGAGAGAGAGAGAGAGAGGAAAACAGCAAATAAGAAAGAGAAACATGGTGTTTGCATGTAGACGTTTTGGGGGAAATTGTGTTTGTGCAACTGACAAAAAAAAAAGTATGTTTTTTGCTTTTTGGTGATGGGATAATAAAGTTTATTTTAGATGTCTATTATCTTTGTTTGTTTCGGCTAATAAATGAAGTCTTAAACGAACATAATGACTAGTCTTCTTGTGTACTTTTCCATGCACACTTGGAAAGACTGTTTTGTTCTTACTTTATACTGTTAAGTAGTCTGGTTTAATAATAATGAACATATTATATCTTATTACACTGTATATGTAAAGGCCAAACAAGGGACATGAACAAAAAATGACCAAAGCTATAAAACAAAATCTGTTCAACACATCAGTTCCATGCTCTGTAATGGAGGCGTGTTATATTGCATCAGCCCTTTAAAAAAAAAAAAAAGATCCTATCTTTATCATTAACCCAACAAAAGACCAGAAGAAAGTCAAAGATATACATTTTATTTACATAACTTTGCGGAAAATAAACCCTCACTTTTACAGGTGAAGCTACATGCTGATATACTTGATCCCTTTTAGAGAGACAAAACTGAAACAATGAAACAATGATTCATTTAAAAATGATGTTGCAAGTCATCTGTAAATCTGATTAGCAGGAATGTGTGTAGTTTTGTGCATCAATGAGACAAATGTAATGACAGTAAGGTCACTGCTCACAAAAGGGAAACAAGATCAAGAAAAAAGAAAGGAAAAAAAGAACACAGTCAGAGTGGAGAACACAGCAGCTAACCGAGCATCGCCATCCGTCTCCCCTGTGGCTGCCCTGACCAACCGGCTAGCTGATGCTAATTAAAAAGTCATGTGTGCTCATCTCTGGTATGACAAGGTACCAAAAGAGGGGAGACGGGAAGGTGAGAAGGTGAAGGAAAGGGGAGACAGGAGGAGGAGATTAGAGGATGTAGG